TAACTTATCTCTTGTCTGTCTCCCTCAACTAAGGGTAGTATCTTTATATGTGTTGCTCAACACTGAGTATCTAGAACTTAGCCCTGTGCCTGAACTAGTTCAGGTATACTCAATAATTTCCAAATTAGTCAGTGTACTGTTTTTTCAGTGTTTCTGCACTGTGGTTATAAACTGTCTAGATTGGATTTATTGAATTTTTATTATAAAATATTTCAAACAACTAGCCAAACACCAAAAAAACAGAAAACCACCACCACACCTACTATCCATTAGCACTTTGCCTTATTAGTATTTTTTAAAAGAAATACAACAGATAGATACGTAATAGACATATAGTTATATAATTACTGAATGCCACTGCTCTTTGTCCCTCTAACACACCCCATTCTTGCAGGACACTGCTATTCCAGGACTGGAGTTTATCATTTCCACAGTATTTCTTCGCTCACAACATGTTGGGTATTCATAATATATACAATTTTTTTACATAGTTTCATACTGCTTCTATCATTCTCCAACTTGCCTTTTTATTTGAGATATTTCTAAGCTTTAATGTCATAGATAGAAGTGATTCTGTTTCATTCATTTTAGCTGCTGTGTAGTTGGCCATTATGTGAACATACCAGAATTTGTCCATTTCCTGTTGATAAAAATTGAGGCTATTTTCAATTTTTTGCTGCAGTGAACACTATCTCCTTGTACATATATGTCAGAGTTTCTCTCAGGTACACAACTTCCAAGTCATAATATAGATCTGTATATCTTCAACTTGGCTAGGGTGCCAAACTGTCCTGCAGATCAATTTTCCAACTAATACTCCCACCAACTGCATTAAGAATGTGTCACCACCAAACATCAGTAACAACAGACACTTACCCCTTCTAAAGTGAGAACTACCACCAAATAATTTTAATTTACATGGTTCCGATTATGATTGAAGTTGAACACCTTTTCAGGGTGATTGGCCATTCTTGTTTCATTTTACTCTGACCTATTTATACTATCTGCCCTTTTTTCTACTGTGTAGCACAGCACTTTTTTATTCATCTGTAGGTGTTATTTAAATAGCTAAAATGCTAGTCATTTGTCAGTGATATATGCTGCAAATACCTTCTTCTTGCCTTATTTATCAATCTTTTTATGTAGGATTTGTGTTTTGTGTCTTAAGACAGTCTTCCATTTTCCAATATCATAAAGACAGTCACCTTTCTTTTTTTGATGGGACTGGGGTTTGAACTCAGGGTTTTAGGTGCTCTACCACTTCAGCCACACCTCCAGTCCATTTTGCCTTGGTTATTTTTTTCTTTTTTTGGCAGTACTGAGGTTGAACTCAGGGCCTCACGCTAGCTAGTCAGGCGCTCTTACTGCTTTGAGATAGGGGCTCATGAACAGTTTGCCAGGCTGGCCTATTACCTCAATCCTCCTGATCTCAGCCTCCCCAGGAGCTAGGATTACAGATGTGAGTCATCAGAGCCTAGCTCCTATATATTTTTAATAGTTTGTTCATGCATTCAGGTAACTTTTGTAAGCAGCAGGGGCCATTTGGATTACCAATCATCCTAATCCAATTTCCTGAATGGTTCATCCTTTCCCCACTAATTTGTAAGGCCATCTTGGTTGTGTGGTAGACTTCACATATGATGGGTGTGCTAATAGGCTATTTTATTCTATTTCATTCACGCTGCATTCACCCCTCTCATCTAAGGTTTAGTATCATAATCATAATAATCCCTCATGCTTGAATAGCATACTAGAATTTACAAACCACTTTCAAATCCTTTATCCATTCAAACATTTAAACAGTCCTGTGAATTGGTGTTATTATTCACACTGTTTGAAGTGCTTGAGGCTCATAAAAGTGAAGTGAATTGTCCTCAGTCACCAGATAATAAATGGCAAGCAAGGAATCAATTCCATGCCTTCCCAGAGTTCTTTACTTACTCTGTGAAGTAAGAACAAAAACAGTATCTTTCAAATGGCTCCCAAACAGAGCTATGCACTTTGTCCACCTACAACTAAAACAAGCAAAAACCCTGGTAAATAAGTAATTGCCTTTTAAGACTATGGTTATTAACCATATGCTCCCCTTTCTATTCTGAAAGTAACTTGCCCCTGCTGCCTCTTTGCTAATGCTCACCTCAACAATGATGCTACTGTTGAGGTCATTATTGTCCACAACCCCTGTACGCAGTAGCAAAGGCTTCTCGTCAGTCACTAGTCCTGCAGCTCCAAAGATGTGACAACTGGACAATTCCCTGTACCTTAGGAGGGAGAGGGCAGGACTGATCCCCCAACTGGTAACTCAACTCTTTAAAAGTGTTGCATATAAGCTGTGGGACATGCTATAGGAAGTACGGGGCGTTAGAGAACTGTCCTAAAACCTGGCTTAATGAAAGATAGGAATAGGTATTCCATAACTGGTTTTTATTAAACAAATAAATGATTTGCTTCATCCTGAGCCAAAACTACTCATTTCACAGACCATGCACTGAGCAATCAATTGAGAAAGGAAAAAAAAAGAGCAGTCCTTGACATTCACAGCTAGTCCATGTTATTTACTCACCGGACATAAAACAATCTGAGACAAGACTACTCTGAAACTTTTATGAGACAAAGCCTGTTTCACTATGCCCCCTGCAAAATATCAAACACCCCCCCCTTGACCAAATTAAATGCTACTTCTCCACTAGTTACAGTTTTGTTATTGTATTACTCTCTACTCCTTATAGGTTAAGAGTGATTCAGACATTCCACCACAGAACTGCTGTTTTCTGACAGCATCTAATCTATAGTGAGTCTCCACTTCCCTCCCCCAGCACCAATGCCCAAATCCTATTAGCATTCTAACACCCTCTTATTGTGACACCCCACAGCTGGCCGTGGAGCATCCTGCCATGATGCAGAGTAGTAATAAATCCAACTTGTTTAACTACAGGTGTGCTTCTGGTATTCTTTGGCTGTAGGATTTTAACATGGGAAGTCCAACATTCCAAGTTTCTAAAAAAAATTTATACCTTTCTCTTTCTGGAAAGTTCTCCCAGTATCAGATGGACAAGAATACTTCTCATTTCTGGAAGGCATCTCTAACTCAATTAAAAAGGAGTAACAAATTCCTGAAACACCAGTGACCTGGTTCAACATCCAACTCCAATAAACATACTGTGAATAAAACTTGTTTTTATATGATATGCTTCCTTCTAGATAGTAAATCCTGGGAAAGTTGAGTCATCTGACTCATCTTTGTAAATCTGCAGCATCTTAAACGTTAGAGGATTTCTTTTATGATTGGTATTAACACATTTGTTTTTAAACTAGTGGTAGTTCAAATGGATGCCACAATCACAGATGTGAAACCCCAGAAAAATAAAAACCTCTACTGAAGAAAAAGAAAAAAACTTACTCTTCCCAAAAAATTTTTTAAAAGGATTTCTCTCTCCGAAATAAAATTTCATATTTTCACACTTATATATTTCAAACATATATCTCCTTATTTTTAAATACACCAACATGTGCTCATGTTTCTTAACTAAGAGGTTTAGATCTTTCAAAAAAAAAGTATGGTCCATTTTTCATTTGTTCAACCAATTTCCATTTCTTTCCATTACCACCCCAGCTCCCCTAAAAGGATAATTTCTGCTTGTGGTTTCAAAATATGCCACAATATTCTTCTACCTTTATCACACGATACACATTTAGAGAGGGCAGAACCTAAGTTTATTTAATTTGGTTTACATACTGCTTAAATACTTAAAACTCTCAAACACACTTGCTGTACTTGTTTAATTGATTGTTGGAAAAACTCTCTCTATGGCGACTTGTCTACAAAAGATTGTGTTGTTTTTTCTATTTCAGTAAGGCACCGTGGAGCAGAGTAGAGGGAGAAAGCACAGAATACTTATTCATCCTATGACGCAAAAGTGTAATTCAGGTTGGTTTAACACATTAAGTGACACACCACGCAATGCATGGCCTGCTAAAAGGCATCCTGGCCAGTATTATCTTCATCTTTCAAGAAAGCAGATTTCTATTCCAGAGACGAACATTAAATTCAACTCAACATGCAGAAAGTACTTTGCAAGACAATATTACAGCCCAACTGATGGATGGAAAGAATAGAGTTCAGTGGAGAATGAAGGTTACAGAATACCATAGATGTTGAGGACAGCAAGGAGTAAGGATGACTGTAGGAAGAATATTCCAGACCAAAACCGCCGGTTCCTCAAAAACCGGAACCCTGGATGAAACGTTTGGATAGAGACATGGGAGTTCACAGGTCCTGAATCTCCACTATTAGGAGGCTTTGGTTTGCTCTCGTTAAGGGGCAAATGAGATCAAACACAAACGCTTAATGAAACAAGATAATTTTTAAGTTCTTTACGCAACCCAGCAAACCTGAGCTCACAGCCTTCAAGATGGGGGGAAAATCGCTTCTCAGGGTTTTGTAAATTTTGAAACAAAAAGTATTAAGCACGCTTTCCATCATTGAACGGTTGGGAGGGGTGTCCCCCACCACCACCCCCACCCCCACCCCTAGGCAGCAGCGAACCTCTAGAACTTCCGCCGGGCCTGGCTGAACCTCTCAGGCCAGCGTTTGGGCGTCCGGCCACAACCCAGCAGGCCACTGTCACCCGCACCTCAGACTCAGCGAGCCCCTCCCACGTCTGAGGACCTCAGCCAACCCGAACCCCGACGACTACGCCTCCAGGTCCGGCCTCCGGCTAACCCAGGCCGCTGGCTGCGAATAAAGAGGAGGCCCGGGGCAGCCTCCGAGGCCCGCGCCGGACTCGCGGAGCCCCCAAAGGCACCTGCAGCCCTCGGAGATGGTGCGCGGGACTGCGGGTGCGCTCGACCCGGGCCAGCGCGCAGAGAGCGCATCACCCTGCGGGTCCCGCTGGCGCACTGCAGGCTCCCCGGCGCGCACTCGGACAAAGGGGGCGGCGGTCCCGGCGGTCCCCAGAGCCACGCTCCGCGCCCTGCCCGCCGCCGTACCCGGCCTTTACCTGAACATCACTCAGCTCTACGCGCAGATACAGCTCTCGGTGTCGCTGAGCCCAGTAGACGTGCGGCGTCAGCACCTGATTCTCCATGGTCACGCTGCCCAGAGAGCGGGGAGGCTCGTCTCGCTGCGCCTCGCTGCCTCAGTAATGCGCAGCTGGAGGTGGCCGAACGCAGGCCGCAAACCCCAGCGTTCCGGAGCCCGCAGCCCGACTGCCTCTAGAAGACCCACGCTCGCGGGCCGCGCCTGCGCAGTGCTGAGCGGGGCCGGGGGCGGTGCGAGCCGGGCGGGGGCGGAGCGCGGGCTGGCAGGCGGGAAGGGGTGGACCTAGCCCCACGTGACGGTGACGCTCTGCGTCGCCACCTAGCGGTTGAATCCGCCGGGTGCTCTGTATTTCCCGCGCTTCTTCAGGGAGATTCCTGAAAAGAAGCTTGAAAGTGAAAAGGCTCCTAGACTCCTAGAGGACCGATCGGCATGGGAACAGGGCTTGGGGCGGGTGACTCTGGAAAGGTCCCTCCCATTCTGTCACACAGTAATTCATCATTTACTGAGCGCCTGCTACGATCCCCGGCTTCAAAGCCAAACACCAGAACTGGTGCGTCAAAAGACGCAAGTTGTTTCGAACCCAACCAGGGTGACAGGTGGCGATAGGGGAGAAGATGTGGGAACACTGTCGTGTTCCGAGAGGGGAGAGTGAGATTAAAGACCAGAGGTTTCTGGTGTGATCAAGTAGAACTACAATGATGGAAATACCCGGCTCTGCGCACTCCAGATCCCGACACTAGTTACAAGACGCTTTTGAACACTTGAAGTGTAACTAGAGAGGCTGAGAAGCTGAATTTTTAATTTTATTTAATAATTTATTTAAATAGCCATACATGATTGATGGCTGTTCTAATGGACAGTGTCTTTTAAACCAAAAAGCCTAAGCTAATTGATGTCTTATTTAGCTCTCTCATCTGTGTACACTTCCATATCCAAGTACTTCCATAATACAGAATTTAGTGAAAAGCAACATTTCCATGAGAATTAGAAAATCAAGGACCAAAAAAAATGAAATTCAATTATTTTCTTTGTTTCTGAGCACAGGAATTCAGGGATAAAGAGAATTTACACCAGCTCCCAAGAAACATTTAGCACAGTGAGTGGATCATATAAATTACAGAGGACTTAATATGGTGAAATATATGTGCTGAATTCAAAAAGAGGTAGGAAGATCAGAACCATGATCGGACAGTTGACCTGGACTATGAAGCATGAGGCGGAGTTTTCAAGCAGCAGCCCTAGTCGGGCATTGGAAGCACAGAGCACAAGTCCAAGGTAAGGCTAGGTGGGTGGGACTGTGAGCCAGGGAGTAAGGGAATGGAGGGGAGGGGTGGAAAGGTGGGCAAGGGTTGAGTTAAGAATGTCTGTGTTCTTCAGAGGCACTTGTAGTGTCTCACCGACACATAGGAACCAAGGAAGTTTATTAAGCTAGAGATTAGTAAACTGAAATATGTGCTCAGCAAGGCAGCCTGGCAGTGCCATGGAAATGATAATAGGCAAACCAGTTGTTGCTGATGCAATCTGCCAGGTATGAGATAAGGAGAGTGACCTTGAATTTTAAAAATAAGATTGTTTGAAATAATAAAAGTACCTTTATTGCACTGCCTTTACTACAAAGCAGATGTATGACAGGACATTTTTTTTAATTGAAGTATAATTTACAGGAAATAGGCAAATCTAAAATGTTCAGATTAAGGTGAATTTTATATGCGATTATACCTGTGTAATTATCCCCAGATCAAGATCTGGAACATTTCCAGCATTCCATAGGTTACTTTATAATTACTATTCTGACCTAGATGACTATAGTTTTTGTATATTCTCGAATTTTATATAAATGGAATCCACAGTATGTATACTTTTGTATCTGGCTCCTTTCATTCATCATGTGTGTAAGATCTATCCACTCTGTGTGGATCAGCTCATTCTTACAATCAACTAATAGTTAATTGTATTTTTTTACCCATTTTCCTGTTGATGTGCATCTGTGTTGTTTCCAGTTTTTAACTATTATACATAAAACTGCTGTGAACATTTGTATGTCTGTCTTTTGAATATCTGTGCCTGATTCTCTTGGGTAAATACTTGGGACTGGAATTGCTAGGTCATAGGGTGGATGTATCCTTAGCTTAGTGAATACTGCTAAACAGGTTTTTGTTTTGTTTTTGTGGTACTGGGGCTTGAACTCAGGGCCTGCACCTTGAGCCACTCCACCAGCCCTTTTTTGTGAAGGGTTTTTTCAAGATAGGGTCTCACGAACTATTTTCCTGAGATGGCTTCTAACCTCGATCCTCCTGATCTCTGCCTCCTAAGTAGCTAGGATTACAGGTTGAGCCACCAGCACCCAGCTGAAATATGAAAATTTTTTAATCCAGTATATTTAAAACTTGAGCGTTATCTTCTGACCTGTATGTGCAAAGTAAAAATTACTGATAAACAAAAAAACTGAATCTTGGCTTTGCCTCGGCTACTCCATAAGATCCGTCCAGTGAAAGGCACCAATTTGGACAGGTTTGACCACTACTGATGTATTGTAAGATGACTTGGGCCTGAGTTTCTGTATCCATTAAGTGAATTAGATTTACAACCTTCCTGTTTTATTTTTACTTTTTTGTAGTGCTGGGGATTGAACCCAGGGCCTTAGTCCCTGCCAGGCAGGTTGTCTACCAGCCAGCTATACCTTCCCCACAAGTCCTTATCAATTGTTTCTAAGTTTCTCTGAAAAGATGTGCAGCTATCATGGACCCCCCTCTCTGAGGGAAACTCAGGAAACAAAAAAGTGAAACAGGGAAAGAATATCATCCGGGTGAAATATCAAAGTGCATGGTGTATGTATTGGGGGAGGGGATAAAAAGGCAGAGCCAAGTGGCAATAACAAGCTGAAGTAGGTAAGGTTGAAGGTTTTATAATACCAGTCAAATGAGAGAGAAAGCTAAGCATTATCTATGTGCCCTGTCTTCTAGGACATAGGGCCCTGTCTCCTGTCTCATTAGTCAGCATCACCATAGGAAGCACCTACTGTGTCCTTGCCATGGATGAGGTCTATACCAGTGCCTAAGCCTAATTTCCTGTCTTTGACAAGTGATCCTACATAGCCTTGTTCACCTTTTACAGAATCTTCTGTTCTTAGATGAAGTTCTAGAAAATGAGTTGTCTACTTCAGCTCTTTTGTGCCTCACCTACACATGGACCGCCCAACCAACCAATGTCATCTATGACCAAAATCAGGTTTTTCTATCTAAATAGCACAAAAAGAAGGGTGGAGAGAAACTGATTGGATCAGCCCAGGCATCTAATGAGGAAGCCTTCTCCTCATTAATGAGGAAGGTTAGGATAACCTTCTAACCACACTAGGAGGATGGGTATCACAGCTAGTCTTTACCAGAAAAACCTATCCTCACCCTATCGGTCCGTGCTTCATAAGAATGTGTAGACATGTCATGCACCTCTTTTCAGAACCTGCTGTACATAACAGGAGTAGCCTTTCCACTGTGTTCAGTTTGACATATCTGCGAATTCCTGGTTCTCTGGGTTGCTTATGTGGTTGCCAAGTGCAGACAGTTGGTAAGTATGCAACCATTTGTGTAAAAACAGCATAGTTGTAGGAGGAATGTAGTTAAATACATGCATTTGCTTATACACCAGATTACTGGGAGCACATGCATGAAAATAGTAACATCAGTTTCTTGGAGAGAGAAGGAAACTGTGTGACTGGGGGACCAGGATAAGAGAAAACCTTTTCACTATGTGCCCTTTTATACTTCAAATTTTTTGAATCATGTGACAGTATTCAAAAAGTTAACTATGAAAAAGAAAATCAGGGAAAAGGCCCTTTTTTGTTATTGTAGCTTGGTTTGTACTATGCCCCAAACCTAGCCCACCATATCCTGTAATCAACTGCTGTTAGTGTGTACATTACATGCTTATGACCTGTTTCTCCAACTAGATTCTAAACCTCCCTAGAACCCAGATGTCCTGCTTTGGTATCCTGTAGCACCAAACATCATGAGCTTCAGAAAGGAGATGCTGGCCTAAATACATGGCTCAAGTTGTAGAGCACTTGCCTAGCAAGTGTGAGGCCCTGGGTTCAGTTTCCAGTACTGTCTCTCTCTCTCTCTCTCTCTCTCACACACACACACACACACACACACACACACACACACACAAGGACATACTTAAAGCACATTTGTTGATGATAAGATGCAGTCCTACAAAAGCTTTTCTGAAACTGGCATACTTGTGCCAGTTTTGGATTAATCCAAATCTGTGGAATCATTTCAAAAAGCAATTTTGCAATATAGAACAAGAAAAGCAAAATATGATTTATGCTTACTGGCCTAATAATTTCCTTTTGGGGCTTTTATACTAATAAAATAATTTCAAGGTAAAAAGTTGTATAGATATCTATGATGAAACATTGTAAACCACACAAGAAGAACCAAATGAATTGCATCAAAACAAGTAAGATAACAAGTCAAAACTGTAAGCTCTGGGAAGTGCTGAATGTAAACCTGGTAATATTGCAAATGTTTATGATTTAAAAAACACAAAAAATGGTATTACAACATTGTCTAGTGGTAAGATACTGGGAGGTAACTTTCGTTTTCTTCCTTTGTAACTCTGTCCTTGCCAATTCAGAGTTAGTCGGAGGCAGCCATTGTTTTCTGAGAGTTGAAATTGTGGGACTAGAGAACAGAAACAATAATAAAATTCTTCCTTTTAAAGCCTAGTTGCATTATGAGAGAAAATATTTGAAATAATATGCAGACTAAATACAAATTTGCCAAGCAGAGGAGGCAGAAGAAAGTTAAAAGAAAAGTAAGAGTTTCTGTGAAGGAAACGGTCTTGTATCCATCTCTCGTTAAGGGCTTCTCCAAAGCTGGAAAAATGGCAGAAACTCCTTACCTTCAGGACAAGTTTAGGGATGTAGGGAAAGAAAAGATGTTTTCTTATACCCTAGTATTTATACAAGGCACTTAAGGAAGGGTCACCCTAGTATAACAACAGTGAGTGTCGATGAGGTGAGGATTTGGCAAGAGAGGGCCTAAGGGTTCATGGGTGTAAGTGTGGGTGCAGGAGAGCATCTGAGGGTCAGCAATTGGGACTATAAGAACAGTGTGGACTGATGCCTGGAGACATGGATGACAGGTATCTCAATGGGTGCATCTTAGAGGATGGGAAGTAGCACCTGAGAAATAGCTCTTGTCTATTAATTTCCTTGGGCTACCATACAAGGTAGCACAAACTGGGTGACTTAAAGCAAAAGACAACTGGGGGTGGAGCTCAGCAGTAGAGGCCCTGGCTTCAATCTTCAGCACCACAAAAAAATTTTTTTAAAAGAAATTTTCATTTTCTCACAGTTCTCTAGAGGCTCACACTTCAAAATCAAAGTGTAAGCAGAACCATGCTCCCTCTGAAGGAAGAAACTTCGTTGCCTCTTCCTAAATTCTGCTGATTGCTGCCAGGCTTTAGTGTTCCTTGGTTTGCAGAAACATCACTCCAAGCTCTGCTTCTATTGTCACATGGTCTTCTTTGTGTGTCTGTGTCCCTATGTCCTCCATGGTCTTCTCATAAGGACACTAGTCATTGGATTTAGGGTGCAATCTAATTTAGTACAACTTCATCTTAACTACTTTCATCTGCAAAGATCCTATTTCCAAATAAGGTCACATTATGATTTTCTCTGTGGATATGAATTTGGGAGGGGGACACCATTCAACCCAGTACAGCTGAGATAAAGAACATCCTCCTGTGGACCAGGGACTGGCCTGAATCCAATGACTGGGTTAGCCCAGAAGTGGCCAACAATACACTTTCTACTATTAAGTGAAATGGGTCATATAGACACAGATTGGGTTGAACTATAGAAAAACTAAGGAAATTAAATATATATATGGCTTTCATATGTGGCTTGAAAACAACTGTCATTTCTTTTAGGGAGCTCAACTTAAAAAAACCTGAGTGAAGGCTCGTTTAACCTCAGAGTGGATTATTACAGTGTGGAGTGGAACATGGCACTCAAATGGATCCTTTACTAGTGCTATTATAATATATCCTAATGACAGACAATGCTGACACATGGTGCTTTGTAATAATAGAAAATAGGGGAGGCCCAGTTTTCCCACTGTTTTGTTTTATGCCTACTACTTTCCCAGCTACCTCCTGAGGCCCTCTTTTACCCTTCCTCTTTGTCAATGTATAGTATAGACCAGGGAAGAAATTGTGATCTGGTTCTAATTATAACAAGTAGCTCTTCATTTTTATGTTAGTGTGATATACATAGCTTTAATTCCAACTAAGTGTCGTGTTATATCACTTTTACACTTTATTGAAGATCACTAATATTAATGCCAAAGTTCTTTTTTTTTTTTTTTTTTGGTGGTACTGGGGTTTGAACTCAAGGCCTCACACTTGCTAGGCAGGCACTTTACCACTTAACCTACTCCACCAGCCTTTTTTTGTGTTGGGTTTTTTTTTGTTTGTTTGTTTTTTGTTTTTTTTTTTTTAAGATAGGGTCTCATGAACTATTTGCCCCAGCTGGCTTTGAACTACGATCCTCTTGATCTGTGCTTCCTGAGTAGCTAGGATTACAGAAGTGAGCCACTGGTGCCCGGCTAGTGCCAAATTTCTGAATCCAAATTTCTACCTTTATCTAGTATGTGACTCACTCAGGTCTCCAGTGCCCTAGACCCTTTTCTGTCACCACCGTAAAGAGGCGGGGATTTGCGGCCCTTTTCTCCCTGCTTCAATCCTAGCCTCTAGAACTCGTCCTGGCACATGGTCAGGGATATTTGTCTACTTTGAGCAGTCACTCAATGTCTATATGTTGATTGAGAAAGATGAATTATGGAAACTCGTCACGATTCGCCTCGCTGGGTGTCTGCCCTTCAGCAAGTCGCCATCGCTTTCGTGATTTCATCTGTCCGCTCTGGTTGCGTCTCCTGCCGGTGCCTTTTTTTGCTCCTCCAGCCACTAGACGGCACTGTCGTGCCTGACCCCGCCCAGCAGGGAGCTGTTCCTTCTTGGCCCGGAGGCTCCTTCCCCAGTCGGAGGGCGGGTCTCCAGGAACCGGAAGTGCCTAGGCCGCCGCTGCCGCTGCCGCTGCCGCCGCCGCCGCCTTTAAGTACCACGTCCGCTGTCCTGGTCGCTACCGGCGCTGCCGCCGAGGAAGCTGCTGTAGCTCGCACGGGAGTGGAGGCGGCGCGGCATGAAGCGGCGCAGGCCCGCTCCGTAGAGCGTCGGGACGGTCCGGGCGGGCCCGGGTCGGGGGGGAAGGTGCAGTACCCGCCCCCTCTCCCTCCCTGCGCCCTCGAGGCCTGCCCCGGCCCACCCGGCCTGCCCGCCTCACCGGGAGCCGCGCGTCTCCCGGGTCAGCCCGTCCTCCCTGCGGCTTCCCGGCGCGCCGCCGCGCGGGACACAGCCGGTGGCGGAGATCCGCTGGCCGGAAGAGGAAGCCAACGTTCACGGGGCGCCCCGGAGCGCCGGGTGCTGCCCTGCCGACTTGCACGTCCGTTATCTTAATTGAGCCCCGCCGGGCTGGGGATGCCGGGAGCTGTCCGAGCTGGCGGATGAGGAAACGGAAGTCCGCAGAGGCGCAGGAATCTGTCTGAGGTCCGATTGTGCAGATGGGATTCGGACCCAGATTTGCTGGTGTTCTCTCCTCCCTGCTGCTTCACTCTCGGTCGAGTCCATCCCTGCTCACCGCCCCTCCGTGCTGCAAGTCCCCGCAGCGGGGCACTCTTCCCTGCCCACCCTCCAAGCCTTGGTATCCAGTCCCCCTTCTCAGCATTTTTTTGCTGCACCTCTTCTTGCTCCTTCATAGCTTTCAAGATCTTTGCTGGTCCTTGATGACTTTTCCCCCCAGCTCTAGGCTCTTGAGAATGAAATGGCTAGTGAGGCGTGGGGTGTTTGAGTGGACAGCTGTTTGGCCCTTAAGTTAAATATTGTGTTATGCCATTGAGTGGCTCCAAACTCCTCCAAACCCAGCAAGCTCTTCTCTGAGTGACGGCTTTAGTGCTATGGGGGATGTCTTGCCATCTTAACCTGTCGCTGCTGTGCTAGTATAATCTCGCTGTTTGTCCTTCACTTACCATTTAGCTTTCTCAGGATCTCTCCTCATCACTCTCTTCGGCTATGAGAGCCCACAATTAAAACTGACAACAAAATAACAGGTGTAATCACAGATCTTTTTCTTTTTTAAAAAAGAAAACCAGACTGCTCTCTCCCTTTCACTCTCCTGAAAGAGTAAGAACGTTTACCTTTTTCTAAACTAGAATGTCAACAAATTTAATGATTCTTTTTTTTCCAGAAAACTTACCTATTTTACTTATCCTCAGAGTATCCTGGCAAGAAAAAAAGTAAAAGTGGAATACATTTAACAATGAGTAGAACATTCTTTATCTTGTGAAAAACCTAGTCAGACATGGAGGCCCATTTCTGTAATCTCACACTTGGGAGGCTGAGGCAAGAGGATTTCCAGATGGAGGCCAACCTAGTCTACATAGGGAGACTCTTGTCTAAAAACAAACAATTTAAATTATTAAATTCAAGTTCCCTTTCTGCAAAAAAGACGGCCTGTAGTTCTCATTGTTTATCATACTGAGTCGATTCCATCTCTACCCAGCTTGATATGACATGTAAAAGAGGAACAGAAATAGGCACATAGGAATAAATTTTATGTCTACCAGTTTGGGGTCTGCAATTGATACAGCTGTATGCCTTTTGTGACTTTTTAAAGGCTTTTGGGATTTACACTATTAGGATTTTTTTTTTTTTTAGTAAATTAGGCTATACATTTCTGAAAAAATAATTTTTAAGATTTGATGGTGTAAATTGTAGATAAAACATAATCTGGGCATTATGTATCACACCACCAAGAATTCCGTATCAAGTTTGAGTGCTGTTGGAACTGACTGGACTCAACCTCTTTTAACCACATAGGTCCATTTTAATGATCAATCATCTGGTGAGCAAGATTAGATGGTGAGAAAAGAAAAAATTCTTGTGAGAAGAGAGCAGGATGATTGGTGGCTTATGCTTAAAGTTGAGTCAATTGGAAATGATCTTTTTGAATGTGGAGACCTCACTAGGGAAGGTCCATAAGCGAAGAGCCAGTGGAGCAATGAAATATGTGCACTGTGCTGAGAACGTGACCCTGTTTAGAGGTCACCTATGAGAATCTTTGTGTATAAGGTGTTAGGAATTCTGGAAATTACACCAGCTATGCATTTGCATAACATAACATCAAGTCTATCCTAGAAAAGGCAGAATAAACATTTACTGTGAACATACAGAGTGACAGAATGTCATATGAACTTTGTAGTGTGTATGTGCAGGAGTGTATATATGTGTAGAGACAGAAATAGTTCAGGGGCCTAGCACAATTCAGAAATAGAAGATAATTTTACTTAAATATAAGCTAGAGTTTTATATAGAAATGTAAAATTAATGAATTATTTGAGCTGTAAGGCTTTGGGAAATCTTTGAAATTAGTGTCTCTGTTCTGTTTTTAGCCCTATGTTTGTAAACATTGATTTGGAGATGAAATTCCAAATTTCACAAAGGAAATGACAGTTTGTATAGATTCTTATCACTGCCCCTAACTCCGTTAGGTATAAAACTTGATCCATTGAAGAAGGACTCTACTAGCTTTTATGTGGCCAAGCAACCACCACTGTCATATGCTGCCTCTTAAATACCAATGTTCTAGCTGGACACTGGTGGCTTACACCTGTAATCCTAGTTACTTTCGAGGCTGAGATCAGGAGGATTGAGGTTCAAGGCCAGCTGGGGCAAATAGTTCTTGAGACCCCCATCTCCAAAGTGATCAAAATGGAGTGGAGGTGTTGCTTAAGTGGTAGAGTGCCTGCTTTATTAGTAGAAATCCCTAATTCAAATCTCTGACCCACCAAAAAACAAAACAATGTTCTGCATATCAGTTGAACTAAATGACTTAATTCTCTGCTGAGCTGTTTTGGATTTTAATCTTTGGAAGTGAATGCCCAGTGGTAATACTGTTACAAGTATAACTAATGTAACTAAATTTTCTGGCTACTTTTGCTATGTTACATTGGAAGAGATAGTACAGTTCACTGTAGCAAGAAAAATGGCCTAACGGCTGGCGGAGTGGCTCAAGTGGTAGAGCACCTGCCTAGCAACCATGAAGCCCTGAGTTCAAGCCCCAGTACCACCAAAAAAGAAAAAAATGGCACAATATCTCCTGCATACAGTTCAATTCATTTACAGGCTAGTAATGCAAGCCTGGTGGACTGACCTATTAATAACTTTTTCTCTGTTGTAGTTACTTCTTACCATGACCTGTGACATGAGCTTTTTAAAGAAGACATCACCTTAAATACAATTGTGTTGATTCTAGAAGTACTTAATAATTATATGGAATGTGGTTACATAGGTGTGATTTAGTTGTATTTCCCAAGTCCATCAGTTTTTCACAATTGCTAGTTGAAAAAGAGTAGTTTGCTCCAATATTTTTGTTTCTTTTTGGTAGTATGAATAATGAATGTCGGAATAGCTCACTCGTGTGTGTGTGTGTGTGTGTGTGTGTGTGTGTGTGTGTGTGTATGTGTGTTGGCATGCAAGGCAAGTGCTCTACCACTGAGCTACATCCCCAGCTCTCATATTGTTTCATAATAGCACTTTTTGTTACTTAGTCGCTAATATTTTGCTCATGTTACATTTAAACATTGGAAAAGATAAAGGAAAAATGTATCTTCTGGATTTGTAAAGTAAGCATTAATAGAATAAGATTGTTTTTGAGACAGGGGCTATGTAGCTAAGGCTGGCCTCATAATCACAACCATCCCTTAATGTCTCAAGTGATGGGATTATAGGTGTGTTCTATCATATCTGGCAATACCTAAGTTATTAAATACTTTTGGTAGTTAACTGGTAAATTGGGTTCAAGCTTTATCAGAATATTGCTGATACAAACAAATGCTTTCTTTGTTGACTACATCAACTAATAAAAACCATTTAAAGAGTTTTTTTCTCATTTAAACAGCATGTAAATTAATCAGCATTAATAATCATGTAAGTTTTCCTAAAATATTGAGTCACCACAAGGATTATGTGATAGTGATATCTAGGCAAGTACAGAGAATTCAAAAATGCACCAGCCAGTTAAGTGGCTTGGAACTCAATTTAAAAGGAAATAATATTTATATTACCTTGAATAATTGCCCTAGGAAGGTTATTGCAAGTACATTATTTGTGTCAGTGTTATTACTATTCTGATTTGTTGTGATTATTTCTGTTAGCTGGAGAAATCCACATTTGTCAATTGTGTTTCTTTTTAAAATGCAGAACCACTTAACTCCCTTGGCACACTTAGTTTCACTATTGACATGCTTTTGGGTGGAGCGTAGCAGCCAACTGGCACATGGCCTGTTTTTTTCTAGTGTGGGAAAGAAAAAGGAATTTTGGCAAGAAATACCTAAGGAGAAAGCTTTTTATAAAAGTTCTCAAGGGGATTTATAGTCACTGTGAAATTGACATGACCTCAATTTTTTAAAAATCTCATTTTTAAACTGAACACAGAGAAGGGAGCTATTGCTTTTCTTACTAGGTTTCATTGCAGCTGTTCTGAAAAGCATTTTTCCCTTGGCCCTAAGAGACTGTCATTCTGATAATATAAGAGAAGACAGCCCTGTGAACAGCTTCATGTGCCTTGTTTTTCTAGGAAAATGCAACATGGCAGCAGCAATGGAAACAGAACAGCTGGGTGTCGAGATATTTGAAACTGCAGAGTGTGAGGAGAACATTGAACCACAGGATCAGCCTAAATTGGAGCCATTTTATGTTGAACGATATTCTTGGAGTCAGCTTAAAAAGCTGCTTGCTGATACAAGAAAATATCATGGTTACATGATGGCTAAAGCGCCCCATGATTTTATGTTTGTGAAGAGGAATGATCCAGATGGGCCTCATTCAGACAGGATCTATTATCTTGGTGAGTATGAAGGAAGTTACAGTTTTGAGAGGAAACATTTTTGTAAGTCAAACTTAAAGGCTAGGTGCAATCTGCACTCAAATTTTGGTGATGAGTCAATCGTGACTTATTTTTTCCCATTAAAGGGAAAAATTTTAATTTGAAGAACTTCCATTCGTATGCTGTTTTAGTTTTGGTTTGTCTCATTAACTTTATTTTTACTTACAGATAACTAATCGTGAATTGATCATGATTGTTTTCAAAGTCAAAGTTATATCAAAAATTGATTATTTCTGAAGCTAGTTTGAAATGTCTTCCATTTGGAATGATCAGATTAGAATAACAATTCTAAGCAGCTGCTGCTCTGCTGCTTTCATTCTTGTAAACCAAGGGTGATACTAGTCTCCTGAGTCCATTTACTCCAGATTTAAGATCTGTTCAAATATATTAATCTACTGATTGACCTTTTTTTTTTTTTTTTTTTTTCCTGCTGGGGATTGAACCCAGGGCTTCATACATGCTAAGAACAAGCTGTACTACTGAGTTATTTCTGTACCTCCAATTTGCTTATTTAAGATGGGGATCTTGCTTTGTAGCCTGGCTTAGCCTTGAACTTGAGATCCTCCTGCCTCCCTCCCAAGTGCTAGGATATAGTACTACCATTGAGAGCACTACCCTGCTCTCAATTTTTTTTTTTTTTCACATTCTGGGGGATTGAACTCGAGCCTCAAGCTTGCTAGGTATGCACTCTACCCCTTGAGTCATACCTCTAGCTCTTTTGCTTTAGTTATTTGTGAGATAATCTTGTGCTTTTTGTCCAGGCAGGCCTTGAACCTCTGTTCTCCTTCCTATGCCTCCCACATGCTGGTGTTACAGGCATGTACTACCACACCTGGCTTATTCTTTGAGATAAGGTCTCAAAGTTTTTTGCCTTGTATGGCCCAGAACCAAGATCCTCCTGTCTCCACCTACTAAGTAGCTGGAATTACAAATTCTGCTTCTGTTTGTTTTTGATGGGGTCTGGCTTTTGCTCTGGCTAGATTGAACCATAATTCTCCTACCTCTGCTTCCTGAGTAGCTGGGATTACAGCCCTGAACCACCATGCCTGGGTATTCTTTTGGGGGGTGGGGCAGTACTGAGGTTTGAACCCAGGAACTTGTGCTTGTTAGCCAGGTGCTCTACCAGCCCTTTTTGCTTTTGGGTTTTTTTTTCCTTGGCTGCATTGGTATTTGAACTCCAGGCCTCACACCTTCTAGGCAGATACTGCTTTGGTTATTTTTGAGGCACAGTATCACCTTTTGCCAAAACTAGCCTGAACTATGACCCTCCTGTTTACACTTTCCATGCAGCTGGATGACAGTGTGCCACCATGTCCATCTCTCATTGACTGAAGTGAGATGGTGCAAACTTTTTGCCCAGGTTGGCCTTGGCCTTGAACTATGAGCCTCCGAATCACTACCACAAGAATAGCTAGGATTACTGTCTTGAGCCACCACACCTGGCCCTGGCTACTTTTTTATTAAAATTTTAAAAACAGTTTTTCTGTCCTCCTTCAAAGTGCTTCCCATTCATTCATTGTATGTGTGTTTTTAAGAGAGATTTTCTGCATAAGTCCATATCATAATTGTAGATTCTTTTTTAATAACTACAGAATATTCTGTTAATACAATTGTGCCATATTTAATTTCATCAGGTCTCTAATAATGGATTTATTAGAAAACTTAGATTTTCCTAACTCGTGGTGGGTTTTTTTTTTTTTTTTTTTGGTGGTAGTGCTGGGGATTAAACTCAGGGTGATACATCTAATCTGTTATTAATGAAAGATGAGTCAATAGATATCACTGTGTTAGATCATTTTGCACAGATGTCAATATACTTATAGAACTTCTTATTCCTCAGAGTAGAATTCCTTGTACAAAGGGTGTATATGTTCTAGATTTTGATCAGTATTACTAAATTCCCTCTACAAAGAAGCTACAAGATTAATCAGCATTACCTTAAAGAATCGTATTTCTCCAGACCTGCACCAATATAAACTTTTTGACCTTTTCTATTCTCATGTTGTAGTTTTAACTTTAGGTCTCTTAGGAGTGAGGTTGTGCATCTTGTCACATACTTAAAAGCTATTTGTATTCTTTTTCTGTGACTCATCTACTTATAAATCTTTCTTTTTTTAAATTAGATTGGGACTCTTAATCATTTTGAAGGTTTTATATGATAAGGGAATTTACTTGTTATTTCTTCCTCTGATATGGTTTGATTGGTTTTGTTTGTTCGCTTGTTTTGAGTCTTGAATTTGCAGTCTCTTGCCTCAGCCTCCTGAGTAGACAAGATTACCAGCACATTCCATCATGCCCAGCTTTCTCTGAGGTTTTGGGGTGTTTTTGTTTTGTTTTTTCATGTTTTTGACACAGGGTCTCAATTTGTAGCCTAAGCTGGCTTTGAATTCATGATCCTCTAAATGCTGTGATTACATGTGCGAACCACCATACTCTGTTTTTGTCTTTGGCCTTTAAAGCCTGAGGTATGCAGAAATTTGTGTGTGTATGTCGGGGGGGTGGGTTGTAGTTAAATGTTTATTTTGTGTCCTGTCTAGAAAAACTTTCCCAACTCCCAGATTATATTTTTAAAATCTTTAGTGTTTTTTCTAACTCTTTTAACAAATTAAGTTTTTCTTCAATCTTTGCATCATTTGTAATTTATACTAGGGAAACTCTTTGTTCTCCTTTGATGGCTTTCCAGTAATTGTTACTTTTTTTTTTGTGGTTCTGGGGATGGAACCAAGAACCTTGCATGTGCTAAGCATATACTCTACTACCAAGCGTACCCCCAGCTCTATCCAGTTATTTTAGCAACATATTTCGAATACTCTATCTTTCTGCCTAACAATTAGAAATGCCACTGTTACCGTATGTCACGTTTCCTTAGATACATATTTGTGTCTATGGGCGCATGTTGTTTTGTTCCATTGATCTGTCTGTCAAATCAAATGCCTATACTGTGGCTGTAGTAATTATTAATATTATTATAGCTCTGTATATTTTACTGTGTGATGACACTAATCCCTTTCACTTTTTTTGTACTTTTTGTGACTACTTTTATTTGCTCATTTTCTATAAGAACTTAAAATTAGTGTATGTAGTTCTCTTCCCCATCCTATTTATACCATGTTAGGACCATGTTGTATTTGTAGGTACATTTAAGGGAAAGTTGACATGTTTAAGATGTTGAACTTTTCAAGAAAATTGTATGCATTTTCATTTGTTGAAGTCTTTTCTATCAGCCCAAATTTTAAAGTTTTCCTCCATTTAAACATATTATTTTAAAATTTTAGACATTAGTTGAAACAGAGTTCTATATCACCAAGAACCAGTAAATACTATTAGGAAACAATGGAAGAAGATCATATAGAACTGGCATGTATGCACATAGAATGTCTTGGGGATGGATGAAAGCAAGGAAGACACTGTGAAACTAGAAGCAGGTAGAAAGGACAACTAAAACAATTGTGGGGTTCTCACTGGGCATAACTTGAGAACCAGTTTTTAATTTTTTTTTTTGTAATATTTGAGTGCTAAAGGCTGTTAGAAGAAGGCATAAGGAAGATTCAATCACATTTTGTAACATTATGGATGGAATGGGTTGGTGACCACAGTGTTAATTGTTCTATAACAATATATAAAATATATAAAATAGATTTAAGACGAAATCAATACTTAAATAAATGTCAGGTGATGTCAAACTTTTTACTTCAGAAGGCAGCACAAACTAAAAAAGGCTTTGAAAAATAAGATAATAAAGGATGAAATCCTTTACCTATATATATTTGTAATCCTATAATCCTTGCTACTTGGGAAGCTAAGTTTAGGAAGATCCCAGCCCCAGGAAAAAGTTTGCAAGACCAAATCTTAACTAATAACTGGCCACATTGGCACACACCTGTCATCTCAACTGTATGGGGAAGCACAAATAGGAGAATCCAGGTCCAGGCCAGCCCAGGAATAAAGCAGGACCCTATTGCAAAAATAACACAACAAAGGCTGGGAATGTGGCCCAAGTGGTAGAGTTTCTTCCTAGCAAGCACAAGGCCCTGAGTTCAACCTCCAGTACCACTATTAAAAAAAAAAAAAAAAAAAAAATGCTGAGGCTCTGTTCTACTTGGAAGAAAATTACTGGTTATTTTCATGTGTTTTATCTTCTTCTTTCATCCTCCCTTAGCTTTTTGGAAGTGATACCTTTGTAACACTTCCTATGGTAGAAAGACTTTATTTTGTTCAACTTTTCTTTAGTTCACATCTTCATAACCACAGTGTGTATCTATTACTTATTTTGAGTGTAGCTCATTCCATACTGCTGTGATCTTTCCATCTGGTTATTGCATGACCTCACAGAATTGATCTGGCTGTACTTAGTTGAGATCCATTTTTCCTTTGCCCTTCCTCAAAAATGCATAGATTTTTAGCATATCAGATACCAGACTCTGTTGTTTTCATATAAGTATGCTTTTACTTGAAACTCTAAAGGCGTTATTCTTACAGTCACAGAACTTTTATAATGAAGAAAAAGTGGAATACAGTTAGATCTATGTATGTTTCCAAATAAATTCTTTAGGTAACTCAGGAAAAGAAGAAATACAGTAATCTGAAGTCACACTATAATCTCATTATTGCCTACTTGTAAGGGACTAAAAATTTTCAAAAAATTCTGAAAATAACATTTACATTGTTTTATATACTTCTGTGTTTTGAGAAGAACTAAGTTCTGAATATTAAAGTGAAACCTTGAGGGAGGGGAGGGAGATTATGGTTTTTTTATCTGGTTGGTTGGTTGGTTGGTTTTTTGTTTTGTTTTGTTTTTTGAGACAAGATCTTGCTATGTAGCTCAGGCTGTATTCAAATTCACATTCCTCCTGCCTCTGCTCCCAAGTACTGGGATTACAGACATGTCTCACCATACCCAGTGAAACTTTGGTTTTATTGAAGAAAATTTCTAAGGCATGAGGCATGTGTGTATGCTATATATTAACATCATCATAGATTCCATGGAGTGGAGAATATTGCAATATGTGGAGGGTATTACATATTTACTACCATGATTGTAGTAAGAATGCTGTTTGAAAAAATAATAAATGATTATTTTTTCTCATAGCCATGTCTGGTGAAAACAGAGAAAATACACTATTTTATTCTGAAATCCCTAAGACTATCAACAGAGCAGCAGTCTTAATGCTGTCTTGGAAGCCTCTTTTGGATCTTTTTCAGGTAAGGCTGACTGACTGCTGTTATTCCTGTGATTTAGTGTATGTTTTCAAATACTGTAATTATTTTTTTAATTTACTTTTTTTGTGGTAGGGATTTGAACTCAGGGCCTCACACTTGCTAGACAGGCACTCTATTATTTGAGCCGCTCTGCTAGCCCTATTTTGTGTTGGGTGTTTTCCAAATAGGGTCTTGCAAACTATTTGCCCATGCTGGCTTCAAACTGAGATCCTCCTGATCTCTGCCTCCCTAGTAGCTAGGATTACAGGTGTGAGCCACTGATCCCAGTTCAAATACTGTAGTTCTTTAGAGGTGGAAATTTAATTGGAGTTTTGTATCTGAAGGAGATGTGAATCAAAAAGAATTAATGCATTTCAGTGTTCTCACATTATAATTCTCAGTATCTAAAACTAAGGTATATACTATAATTCAATTTTTTAAACTTCCGTTCCCTTCCATAAACTTTCCAGTGATGTGGTAATGTATTCTCAAATTTTGGAGAAGAAAATGTTGACATTAAATAAGTAAATTACATATATATTATATATGTAATATATTACGTATATGTATAATATATATGTGTGTAATATATTCTATGTAATATATATTATATATCATATATATATGATGTATATAATATATATGTACATATAAAATAAGTAAATCCCAATGCTGGGATTACAAGAATACACCACCACACCCATTAAGATCTCTTTTTAAATATAAACTTTTATATTTTTCCTCTGAGCACTGCTTTCACTACATATGTCTTAAGTTTAGTATATTGTGGTTTTGTTTCCTTTTTTTCTCAAAATATTTTCTGATTTCCTTTGTGATTTTTTTCTTTGACTGTCCTCCATCTGCTTGTAAGACTGTGCTTTAGAAACACTGAAGGCAGGCCAAATATGGTGTGCATACTTGTAATCCCAACTACTTGGGAGGCAGAGATTGGGAGGATCATGATTCAAGAATAGCCCAGGTAAAAAGTTAGGGAGACCCCCATCTAAGCAAACAAGCCAGACATGATAGCACATGATATAATCCCAGCTTGCAGGAAGTGTAGGGAGGCATAGGTAAAAGGATCTTGGTCCAAGGCCAGCCCATGGCGGGGGGTTGAGACGGGGGAAACACCACAAGACCCTATCTAAAAAATAACTAAAGCAAAGAGGGCTGGGGTAGCATTGGGGAGGTGTCTCAAGTAGTAGAGCACCTGCCTCGTAAGCAGGAAGCTCCTAAATTCACAACCCTAGTACTGCCAAAAAAAAGTACTATCAAATTTACTAAAATTGTATAGATAGTTCTTGTATCCAGAACAAAATCAGAGATGTTAAATCTAAAGTAAAAGGAAAGGTTATGGGAAATTGAATTGTGGCTTTTATAAAAAAGATTTTAAGTAAACAAGTTTCAATTATTTATAATAATGGAAGAAGGCAGAGGCATTGATAATTTTAATGACTGAGAATACTTCAGAAAGTATTTATTGAAATTACATATGATCAAGGATTTCAGTATTCTGAGAATTTATTTTAAACCAAACCATGAAAGAAAACAGTGCAGGTTTGGCACAGCAGTAAAGTTTTGCAATTTCCCCATTCTGCCTCCTTTTTCAACCTTTCTCTACAACATGCTTCAGTTCATCTCCTAAATAAAAAAGCACAATCATAGCACAGCCATCCCCTTCACACCATAATCCTACCCAGGAAAGACTGGTTAAATGCCACAGTACAGTGTAAGGCCCTGAGTTCATACCCCAGTACTGCCAAAACAGAAAAACAAACAAAAACCTCTCAAGGAAGTTAGAACAGCTATAAGGCTCACCTCATTTGATCCTCATTTCTCAGGGATCACTATCCTTTGTTTTCTGAAGTCCATTGTCTTGAAAACATTATTTCATATATTTTGTCCATTTTCTCAGTTTCAGGTGGGAAGATAAGTCTGGTCCCAATTGCTCCGTTTGGATGGAAGGGGAAGTGGGTTTCATGTTTACTACTTCAGTCTCTGATCCATTTCTAATACAGTAGATCTAATTTTATCTTTTTGACTATACAGTAATTCCAACTGATTTAAAATTTAGATCGGTTGTCACTGATTGTAAAAGTGCCATTTTTTCTCCATCTTTTTTTTTGTACTAATTCCTTTTGTTGATGGGGTTTTTTGCCTGTTTTTGCCTTGAATTTGTTTTGCAGGTGCTGTACCACTTGAGCCTGCCCCCAGTCCTTTTCACTTTTGTTATATTTGGATATTGTCTCCCTTGTATGCTCATGCCAGCCTGGACCATGGTCCCCTATTTACACTTCCTGTGTACCTGGGATGGCAGGCATGCACTATCATCCCCAGTTTTTTATTGGTTGAGATAGAGTCTCAAACCTTTGGCCCAGGCTGTTCTCAGATGGCAATCCTCCTGATCTCTGCCTCCTGAGTAATTAGGAATACAGGTGTGAGCCGCTGTACCTGGCTGTTGTTATTTTTTGAGATAGTCTTGCTATGTATTTTAAGCTGGCCTGGAACTCATGATCTCCCTGCCTTAGCCTCCCAAATGCTAGGGTTTTAGGCATGTGCTACCATGCCTGCTTTTTCTTACTAATTTATAATGTTCTGTTTTGGATTTTCTGTCATATACATTATTCATTCTCATTATCACATTTTAACTTGTTAGTATATAGTAAAGTCGATGTTGTTCTCCACATTGATCTTTTTCAAGATTTTGTAACCATCTTGCTTGCTAGTCTCTCAAATATTAAACTTTTAATATTTTATGATCATAAAGTTAAAAATGCAGAGTTCTCTTATGAAACTTAACTTCTTAACTCAAATTTTTTTGTGTTCTCATAATAAAGCATGAGGCATATTAACTATGGACCAAGTATGGTGACCTTCACAGAGAATATGAGAGGAGAAATTAAACATAATTATAGACATAATTATATTTATTTGGTTTCAGTGAAATTCTTAAAAGATATTTAAAAAAAATAAAAAGATAAGAATTGATGAAAGTATATGTTCAGTGATTTCGCTAGCTTTTCCTATTGGAGCCTAACACCAATCATCTATAACTGTATATGCAGAAGTCCCCCTTAACTGTGGGGTGTGCGTTCCAGGACCTCAGTGAATGCCTAAAACCATAGGTAGTACTGAGCACTATATACATTTTGGGTTTTCTTCCTATTCATATATGCCTATGTTAAAGTTTAATTTATAAATTAAGCACAGTAAGAGATTAACAATAATAACTAACCATAGATTTTAGCAACCTCAGCATATGATTTCATTTTCTTTCCTTAAGAACTTTCTCCTTTTCACTTAAAAGAAGCACTCTATGGCTTCTATTTGGCACATCTAAATCGCTCACATCACTATTCTTGCACTTTGGGGTCATTAGTAAGTAAAATAAGGGTTACTTGAACATATACTTTACAATTCCATGATGAGGGGATATACCTGAAGGAATGCGACTCAAGTTATTACAAAAGCACTTGCACACCCATGTTTATTACAGCACTATTTACAATAGCCATGCTATGGAAACAGCCAAGATGCCCCACAACCAACGAATGGGTCAAGAAAATGTGGTATTTATACACAATGGAATTTTACTCAGTCACAAAGAAGAATGAAATTTTGTCATTCACAAGTAAGTGGATGGAACTGGAGAACATCATCTTAAGTGAAGCTAGCTAGCCTCAGAAGGCCAAAAATTGTATGTTCTCCCTCATATGTGGATTATAGACCCAAAACAAATGCAGTAATATTATTGGACTTGGGTCATACACTAAGGGGAGAACACACACAGGAGAAATAGGGAAAGGAAAGGAAACCTAAAACTTGAATGTGGTTGATTTGTTCCCTGTTGAGGAATGAATAAAGTAGTCTTAAATTGGCAGAGGCCACTATGGGAAGGGGACTGGGAAGTAGTGAAGAGGTCTGGTAGAGATGAACTAATGTGGGTTGTAATACACAGGTGCATGGAAGCAATGCTAGGAATCTCTCTGTATAGCTTTCTTTATCTCAAACTAGCAAAAACAATATGTCTTTCTTATTACCTTTTATGTTTTTTCTTCAACAAAATAGGAGAAAAGTGCAGAACAGGTTCTGCCCAGAAGTGGGGAAGAAGTAGGGGGAGGTAGCACAAATAATGTATATACATGTAAGTAAATGTAAAAATGATAAAAGAAAAAGGATAAAAGAAAAAAAAAACACAAAAACAATTCCATGATGATCAATCTGATAACCACAATGGCTACTAGTTGACTAATGGATGGGTAGCATATATGGTGGGATGGACATGCCAGACAAAAGGATGATTCATGTCCCATGTAGGAGACAGCAGAACGGCACAGTTTTATCACACTACTCAGAATGACACCCAATTTAAAATTGAAATTGTTTATCTTTGGCATTTTCCATTTCATGTTTTCAGATGATGAGTAACAGAAACTGCAGAAAGGGAAACTGCCCATAAAGGCAAGAATTTATGTATGTAATTGAACATTAATAAGTGACAAAAAATACATACAACTAGATGGTTGTTTAGTGAAATTATAAGATGTTCTCTCTCTCAGTGACCCTGGGGATTGAACCCACAGCCTCACACATACTAGGCATGTGCTCTACCACTGAGCTACTGAGCTACACCTCTCTCCCCAGGTTGTCTCATGTTTAACATCACCCGAAGTTATTTTAGGATTGCACATATTTGCCATAATTGAAAGATGTTTACATTTCGGTATGGTCATTTAATTTTGGAATGACTCCTTTTTAAATATTATCCATGATATCAGAAACTGTATCTGTCATTATATTCTGATAAAGGGTGTAGAACTCTTAGAGAAGATGTGTATGGTTTTTTTTTTTTTTTTTTGTACTGGGGTTGGAACTCTAAGCCTCACACTTGCTAGGCAGGTTCTCTACCCTTGAGCCACTCTGCCAGACCCTTTTTTGTGATGGGGTTTTTCAAGATAGAGTCTTGCAAACTATTTGCCCAGGCTGGCTAATTATATTACAGTTGTTAGCCACCAGCACCTGGCTATAATTTTTTTAGTGCAACACTTATGAGGTTTGTTTTCTTCATCTTTTTTTTTTTTTCCTTGACTGTACTGGGGGGGGGTTGAACTCAGGATGCTGTGCCTGCTAGGCAAGCACTCTAGCACTTCAGCCATGCCCCTAGCCTTGCTTTTTTTATTTTTCTTCCCCAGTGCTGAGGATTGAACCCAGGGTCTTACATATACTAGGCAAGTACTCTACCTACATCACTAGCCAGGGTTTGTTTTCTTCTTTATTTTCCTTTTAAAATTTTACACATATATCAAATAATATTTCTATCTTGGGAAAGCCCCTCACTATTAACTTAGTTACAATTAATTACAAATATATTTGACAGAGATTGTAATAGATATATTATGGGTATATATCAGAATAAAATGACACAGATTCTGCTTTCAAGTTACTTTTTCTCCTAGTTAGGAAATACACTGAGAAATTGAAAAACAGTATTATAGCCAAATAAGTAAAAAAGACAGTAACACTTATACAAATTTTGAAGGAGGGAAGGAGGGAGGGAGAGGGGGATGGAGGAAGGAAGGGAGGAAGGAAGAAAGGAAGCAAGGAAGCCTGGGGATGGCAACAGTATGGGGAGGGCATGGAGTAAAACAGACAAAAGAACAGAAGGCAGAAAATTACACATTGGATTTCTTGATTGTTTTTGTTTTGTTTCATTTTGTTTTTTGGTTTTTGGGTTTTTCTTTTTGGTGCTGAGGATTAAATCCAGAGCCTGTACATGCTAAAACACATTGGGTTTTAAGTCAATGATGTCACCAGTAGATGGAAAGGTACTAATAACAGCTGACAGTTGAGAGCTTGCTCTGGACCATTCATGGTGCTACATACTCTAAATCTTCACAGAGTGTTGATATAGATGATTTATTACTATTTTGAAAATGAGGAATGTTATTTTTAAAGAAATTTAGCTACTTCCCCAAAGTCAGACTTCCAATGAGGAGCCAAAACTTGAATTCAAAGCACATACTTAAAAGTCTGGGGATATAGCTCAGTATTTGAGTACTTGACTATCACATACAAGAACCCACGTGTGATCCCCATTATCCACCCTCCTCTCCCCCCACACATACACAGTCTGTCCTCTTTGCTTACCTAGAGGTAACACTGAGGAAAAAAAATCTGCTGTATAACTGCATGTAGAACTACTAAATTACAATTAGGTTGTAGAAAACCTTGAATGCTAAGATGATGGGACTTTATTCTGGTTAGGTAATGTATGCAATAATTACTAAATTACCCTTTCCTAGGAAATCTTTCAGCAGACATCTTCCTTCCTTCCTTCCTTCCCTCCCTCCCTCCCTCTCTTTTTCTCTTTCCTTTCTTCTCTCTCCTTCCTTCCTTCCTTCTTTCTTTCTATTTTTGGTGGCACTACAGCTTGAACTCAGGGCCTCATGCTTGCTGGACAGGCACTCTACCACTTGAGCCATTCTGCCAGCCCTCAGTTAGACTACTTAAAATTATTCTGCTTAAGGTTGATGGCAAATTTGAGTTCTTTCAAAACATACTTAATAATATTGAAAGTGCTAGATTTCCATGCTAAAAGCAAAGGCTCATTTTTAGAAGACTGGGCAGGTGACTTTCTTTTTGTCTTAGGCAACACTGGACTATGGAATGTATTCTCGAGAAGAAGAACTACTAAGAGAAAGAAAACGCATTGGAACAGTTGGAATTGCTTCTTATGATTATCACCAAGGAAGTGGAACATTTCTGTTTCAAGCTGGTAGTGGAATTTACCATGTAAAAGATGGAGGGCCAGAAGGATTTACTGTAAGTTGGAGTTACTGCTTGTTTTGGGGTCCACTGTACACTTTAAAATGCTGCCTTGTTTTAAGGTTATTTGCATCCAAATTAGAGAGGTAATTAACAAATAAAACAAAAGTTTCAGTTTACTTACCAAATAAGGAATTTAGTTGTAATGAAAATAAGAAATATAATATTAATTTCCAATATCAAGAGTTAATAGTTTTTCAAAGGACATTAACATAGTTTTCAAATGCTCAGAACTCTTGCTGTGACCAGACATGGTTGCCCATTCCTATAATCCCAGCTACTTGGGAGGCAGAGATCTGGAGGATTGTGGTTCAAGGCCAGCCCAGGCAAAAAGTTGGTGAGAACGCATCCAAATCAAGCTGAATGTGGTAGTATACATATGTAATCCCAGCAACCTGGGAGTTGTAGGATCACAGTTTGAGGCCAGCCCCCAGCAAAAGACCCTATCTGCTGGGGTCTCAGCAGGAGGATCAGGGTTTGAAGCCAGCTCAGGCAAATACTTCAAGAGACCCTATCTCAAAAAAACCCATTTAAAAACAAGGGTTGGTGGAGTGGCTACAGGTGTAGATCCTGAGTTCAAGCTCCAGTACTGCAAAAAAAACCCAAAACAATAAAAGACCCTTTCTGAAAATTAGTTAAACCAAATAAAGGGTTAGAAGTATAGCTCAAGTGGTAGGGCCTCAAGTGTGAAGCCTTGAGTTCAAACTCCAGTACTATCAAAAAAAAAAGAAGGGAGGGAGGGAGGGAGAGAGGAAGTTACAACTTATGTTTTTTTGAAGAGCAATTGCCATCATTGACATTTTACCTAGAAATATCACTGATCTTACAAGAAGAATGCTAGCAAACAAATGTGTATGTATCAGTCTGATACCTACCTTAAAGTGTTTACTTTTCTAGCAACAACCTTTACGGCCCAATTTAGTGGAAACCAGTTGTCCCAACATACGAATGGATCCAAAATTATGCCCTGCTGATCCAGATTGGATTGCTTTTATACACAGCAATGATATTTGGATATCCAACATAGCAACCAGAGAGGAAAGGAGGCTCACCTATGTGCACAATGGTAAGACACAGTTCTTTAGATCTACTTTACTGAAAAGTTCTAGTAAAGTTGAGTTGATCTTGCTTCCATTTTGAAACTGAAGCAAGCTGGATGATCTTTGTATTTTAAATTCAGGTCTTTAAATTTTTTTAAATATGGAAAAGTACAAAGGATAAGTGGTATGTACCCCCTGCATATTACTACCTTGTTTTAATTCATTTTCGAATAGCACCACAAATGCCCTCTGACATGATTTTTCTTTTAGCCTAATAAGTCCCTCACAATTTTCTCAAAACTGTTCTCACTAACATAAAGTTTTAAAAAAGAAAAATTAGTCTTAGTTTATGGAAACAAACAAAAAGCCAGTTATACACTGAGAAACTCTGAAAAATTATCTTCCTGTTTTAGAGAGTCTGCTTAGTTATTATTGTCGTAATAGCAAAAACAGAATTTTATAGAACCCTGTAAGTTGTGGAAATGCTTACTCAAATCTTATTGAAGTTGCTTTAGTAATATTAAGCATTACTCAGAGCACTGAAAAGATGTGGGTATTTTTCTCTAAAAGTTTCATACAAATGAGCCAGACCTGGTGGGGCACACCTATAATCCAGCACTTGGGAAATGAAGACAAGGAAGATCTTGAGTTTGAGGCCATCCTGGACTATATAGCAAGACCCCATCTCAAAGAAAACATGCACACACAAGTGCATGTGAAAGAAAAAAGTAAAGATTTTGTACAAACAAAAGATGAGAAACACACATATGAATAAATGAATAAATCAAAAAAAAGGTGAGAAATAGTGTAATACTTTTTCTTTGAACATGTAAAATAGAGTTTAAGATTAAATTCCACAGTGAAAGACAGTAACTCAAAATTCACTTGTCCAACTTTACTTAATCTGCTGTTCACAAAGCCAATTTACTGGTTATCTTTCTTAATCATCATCATTGACCATTAGTAACTGTTAATAATCTCTGACAAAGAGCATAACAAATATATTTTAGGTAAGAGAACAAAATGACATAGATTCTGCTTTTGAGTTTTTAATTCCTAGTTTGGAAATCTAAAAAATTGGAAATAGAAGAAATAGTGACTTACAAAGAAATCACTATTTGCCATAGTGGATCAAGAAACTGCTGGCCGAGGTTGAATTGAGCTAAATTATTTTAGTGTGCAATAGTACATTAAGAGCAAACACTTTCTCATCGTAAGGATCATCAGTGCCTTTGAAGCCTTTACCTGAACAATTGGCATTGATAGAAAGAGCACTGAATTAAGAGTCAAGAAATCTCTCCTAATTATTTCATCAATCAGCAAAAAATGTGTTAAGTTCTGGTGTGCCTAGCAATGTGGCAAGTACAGTCACCCCTTTGAATCCATGGTTCTTCATCCATCTAAGGACTTAGCCAACTGTGTCTTAAAATTTGCAGAAAAAATTCCAGAAAGTAGCCAGGCATGGTGGCACAGACCTTTAATCCCAGCACTCAAGGAGACTAAGACAGGGTGCTCTTGAGTTTGAATCCAGCCTAGTCTGCATAGGCAGACCTGGCTCAAAACAAAAAATTTCTAGAAAGTTCCAAAGACCAAAACTTGAATTTGCTTCACTTTGAGCACTGTGCTAAATCCACAGGAATGAAATGATGGTAGAAGTACTTTGCCTTAGCCTCTGCCATTTCTTAGCTCCTCAGTCTCTTCCTAGCACTTGTTTGACCAGTTTGCCTCACATCTCACTCATGTACTATATGCTGTTAGGCCTCTGAGAGCTGTATTTGAATTGAACATGTACAGACCTTTTATTCCTTGTCAAAAGAAACAATACAGTAGAACCATTGTTTATTTAGCATTTACATTTGTACAAGGTATTTTAAGATCTAGAGATGTTTAAAGTATACATGAGGATGCGCATAGGATATGTGCAAATGCCATCCATTTTATGGAAGGAGCTTGAGAATTTGTGGATGCACCTAAGATCCTGGAACCAACCCTTTGCAGATAGTAAAGGACAATTGTACTAAGGAAACAGAATTGAGTAAGACAAAGTCGTGGCCCTCAAGAAATCAGCATAAACAAGTAACAATAAATGGAGTAAGAGTCAAATGTTATGTTGTGAGTAGCAATCAGAGACAGTAGTCAGGGAATTCTTCCCAGAAAAGGTGTACCTAAACCGAACTTAAATAATGTCTTCTATATATTAGCCAGTGTACTACAGGCAAGGAGAAGACTTCGTGAAAAAGGTCTTGAAGCAAAAGGTGTTGTGGTCTATGTGGGAAGTTTAGAAGCTGTTTGAGAGCATAAGGTATGAATCAGGGAGGGCCAGGCAAGGGTTGGCTGTATAAGTGGTTATGGACTTTATCACATTGAGGGATGGTCAGCTGAAAAATGTTTTGCATGTGTTTATAGTCATACTATACGTAAATTGTTCTGGCTACTTTGTGGAAGTCATATTTGAGAAATACGAGACTAGAGACCCATTACCAAAGTTAATATGATACAATGCTAGGGGAAAGGATAAATCAAAAAGGAATGAAGTAGGAAAAAATCTTAAGAAGTATAGGTTTTAGGCCAGTGCAGTGGCTAAAGCCTATAACTCTAGGTACTTGGGAGGTTAAGCTCAGGAGATTCAAGGCCAGTTTAGGCAAAAAGTTTGAAGAGACTACATCTCAACCAATGACTGGGCATGGTAGTATGCACCTGTCATCCCAGCAACACAAATCACAGTCCAGGCTGACCCAAGCATAAAATGAGACCCTATCTCAAAAATCACCAACATAAAACGGTTTGACCGAATGGCTCATGTGGTAGTACTCCTGCCTAGCAAGCATGAGGCCTTGAGTTCATCAAACCCTAGTACTCCCCTGACCAAAAAAGTACAGATTTTGGTATTTAAATGGGTCTCCTTTTGAAATCAGGAAATTGGAACAGCTACCAATGGCAACAGAAACATTAGGTTAGTTAGTAAATCTGTGTTGAAAATTCTAGCCATTTTTTTCATGCTTTCAGCAAACATTGAATACTTACTATGAACCAGTTACTATATTTGAGACTGGGACTGCATAACTCTGACATAACTGTCAGAATAAAGGCATTTTTGGTCTTTTTTTTTGTAAAATTGCTTTCCACACAGAATTTATGAAGATTGGCAGAATTTAAAGTTGAAAGCACTGGAATCCTGCAGGGTGTTACAGTTGTGTTTTTATTCTTTACTATGCATGTAGGTATGTGCATATTTATTATTTTTAGGATTAGTGTAGGTAGTTAAGAACCAGACCATCTGAGTTTAAGTCCCAGATCTAACATATATTGACTCTGTGACCTTGTCAAATTATTTAACTTAACCTCTTAGTATCTATAACTATAAAAATGTTAATTATATATCAACATAGGATTGTTAGGAGTTAATATTTGTTAAGTGTTTAAAACAGTGCCTAAAACATAGTAAGTGCTATGAAAGTGTTTAGATAGATGGGAGGGAGAAAGGGAGGGAGGGAGAGTGCAGCATCAATGCAGCCTACTTATTGACAATAGGTTTTAAATAAAAGTCCACTTTAGAAAGTGAGTTTAACCAGTGGTTCACCAGAGGCAGAGGCAGGAGGATATCAAGTTCAAAGCCATCTTAGGCTACATAGAGAGACCTTGTCTCAAAATCACAAGGGCTGAGGATATGTTACACTCTGGTAGAATGTTGCCTAGCATGTGCAAGGCCCTAGGTTTCAGCCCCAGCACCAGAAAAAAAAAAGGGAGAGGGAAGTTTAGTTGGTCAAGATGTGTGTGTGTTTATTCTCTGATTAATATACTAGAGGAATTTAAAATTAATAAAATACTAGCTTCTGTTCCCCAGTGACTTCTCTTATTGGAGGGACAGGATGATACCATTTATTGAAGTTAACAATAATAAGTGATAGGGAGATAAAACTGAATGGTACCTATCCTCATATCTAAAGGAGAACAAGGTATTAAATAGAGCTGGGGTATAATTTTGGGGTAGTTGAAAGATCCAAGAAAACTGAGCACTGGTTTTGACTCTATTATTAATTCCAAAATTCAAAAAGCTCCGAAAACCAAGCTTAATTTTCATTAACTTGGTTCTAAAACTCATTTGGCAGCAAAAAATGACCTAAACTGACCTGAGGGTATTTATAGTCTTAACCCTGCTTAGTGTGCCTCCTCATGAGCTTGCAGCAGAAGTGCAGTATTTGATTACAGCTTATTTGGTTGCCCTGCTGGAGATGTTATACAATATGCAGATGCACAACATAAGAAAAAGCTCTAAAACTCTGAATTCCAAATACTTTTGGGCTTAAATTTTGGATAAGGGAGTATTGGTTTGTGCTGCACATTCATGTCATACAATATAGAAAATACAGATAAACAAAAATAAGTTAAAACTTGCCTAAGCTGGGCCCAGTGGCATACACCTATAGTCCCAGCATTCAGAAGGTTCAAGTAGGAGGATTCTAGACTAGTTTAGGTAACATAGCAAGACCCTGCCTTAAAAAAAAATTTGGCATAATAATAAGATATCACTACACATCTACTAGACTAACACAAGTGAAAAGACTGAGAACACTAAATATTGAAGAGGAACTTTCATACATTGCTGGTAAAAGCATAAAATAATACAAATACTTTAGAAAAATATTTGGTAGTTTCTTGTGAAGTTAAACACATAGATGTATCACACTACTCAGCCATTCTACTTAGGTATTTACACAAAAGAAACAAAAGCACATATCCACAAAAATTCTTATGCAAAATTGTTCATGTCATCTTTATTCATAATAGCCCAAATCTAGAAGCAACCCAATGTCATTAACATGCAAGTGGATAAAAGAACCGTGCCATTAATGGAACATTACTTAACAATAAACAGTCTGTGGTGGCACAAACCAGTAGTCATTCATCTAAAGAGGGTTAGACAGGTGGACTGTGAGTTGAAAGCCAGCCTGGGCTATATTGCTGGGCAGCAGGATCACAAACTCAAGGCCAGCCTGGGCTATAGTGAGTTTTGAGCCTGTATGACACTCTATCTCAAAAAACGAAAGCAATGTAGGAGGATGAATATGGTGGAAATACTATATATATATACATGTACGTAAGTGGAAAAATGAGAACTGTTGAAACTATTCCGTGGATGGGGAAATAGAGAAGAATGATGGAGAGAGTGAATTCAGCTATGATATGTTGTAAGAACTTTTGTAAATGTCACATTGTATTCCCAGTACAATAATAATAATAATAAAATGAGATAAATTTAAAAGAAAGACAAAAAAAATAAATAAAAGTAAAAACACAAAAGCCGGGCATGTTGGCACAAGGATCATGAGTTTAAGGCCAGCCCATGCTTAGACCTATAATCCCAGCACTGGGAGGCCGAGACAGAAGAATCACCAGTTTAAAGCCAGCCTAGGCTATATAATGAGACTCTGTCTCAAAAATCCAAGGGCTGAAGTAAGTGATAGAATGCTTGCCCAGCATGCCCAAGTCCCTTGGTTCAATTCCCAGCACTGCAAAAAAAAGAAAAATTTAAACAACAAAAAAAGGAATGAAGTACTGACACGGGATAACATTAGAGAGTCTCAAAAAGAAGCCACATGCAGTGTATATACTAGAGACATTTCCCTGTGATGTGAAATCTTGTGTAATTATGGCTTTGTGATTTGTTTATTTATTCGTTTATTTATTCATTTGTTTGATTTGTTTGATGTTGGAAATTGAACATCAAGCTCTACCACTGAACTACAACCCCATTCCCAGTATTTTTTTTTTCCCAGCAAAGTATTTGCTGGAAACCTAAGTGTAAAACATAAAAACTGGGCTGCTATGGTTAAATGGAAGGAAGGAGAAATGGAGCTAGTGAAGTGGCTCAAGTGGTAGAGTGCCTGCATAGCAAGCATGAGGCCCTGAGTTTAAAAAAAAAATGGAAGAAGAAATAGTCTAAAGTGCTTGTCTGTATAGGAGAGTTACAAGACTATTCTTTTTTCTGTGACTCTAGGTAAATGAAAAAATAATTATTATTATTTATGGAGCTTTGTTCTAAGTGCTTTAAGTGAATTAACGAATCCTTGTAGCAACCTTACAAGGTCAGCGCTTACATCCATCCATTTACAAATACTATAGTGAAGTGAGGTTTGTGATTTATCCAAAGTCGTATGGTAGGTAAATGATGGGGCTCAGACCTTTCTAAATAAACTGAATTATTTTGTTTTTTATGTTTGTTTAGAGCTAGCCAACATAGAAGAGGATCCCAGATCAGCTGGAGTTGCTACCTTTGTTCTTCAAGAAGAATTCGATAGATATTCTGGCTATTGGTGGTGTCCAGAAGCTGAAACAAGTAAGGAAATTCAAAATAATATATTATAGGTTAATTAAAGTATTAAAAGGTTCAATTGTGAATTGTTTAAGTACACAGATTCTAAAGCTTGGATAATAGCTTCTAAAGTGATGAAGATTGGATCCTACTAGTAGTTACTTACAGGTTATACCACACCATAATGAATTCTAGTAATAACAGTTACATTGTACTTTAGTACCTCAGGCTTTCAATTCTGTTTGCCAGTTTTTCAACTACAGAGCTGGTCTTGGTAACTCTGATAACACTCTGGCAAAACACCACACCTTAATAAGTTCCTGTTAAAAAATACATCATTGGCTATAGCGTTTACATGAACAGATAACCAAATCAGGGTATGAACAAATAGGAATAAAAAGAACAGATTTCCTCTAATTCGAGGTAAATTCACAGGTACTTCCCTGCCTGAGAAACCTAATGCAGTTTCTTGGAGACTTTTTTATCATAATCCACTTAGAAATTTGCTTATAATCATGGCTGAATATGTTATCCTATACTGTGAAGACAAATTTTGTGACACACTACTTTTCCTATGTGTAACTGTACTCTAATGCTGCTGCTCTTCCTGCTGTATTTGTTAATGCTGATTATGGCCCATTAATACATTTTTATGATCTACTGTTGGTTTACAGCCAGTGGTCTGAACACTTCTGTAAGGGACCATGAAAAATATTTGTTTTTAATCCATAGCTTATATTTGGGCATTTTATTTTAAGACGTAAAATGTTTTGCCATAATTGTATTTGTCAGAACAAGATGTTGACGTATAGAAACCATTCAAATCACTCCACTCTACTTAAATAGCATTTTATAGGAAATACTATAAAATTAATTAAGTAATTTCTTTTTCAACAAAATGCATTTTAAGGTATGCAAGGACAAAGTCTTCAAAAGTGCTTTCCCCTGTTTAAAAAGTACGTATACACATTATCATCAGTTTTCTCCACTCCAAAAGGAGTAACCTTTAAAAAGTGATTTAGCAGTCACATTGCTGCTGCAAAGACTAGTGATATTTTCATAAAAGGCTGTACAGGCTGGGAGGGTATCTCAGTGGTGGAGCACTAACCTAGTATGCTCAAGAATCTGAGTCCAATCTCTAGCTCTGCTAAATAAATAAATGGCAGCATATTTTATACATATATTGATTTTCACTATAAGAAAACTAATTTTAGTGGGACTAGTCAATTGTGATTACTTGCTGGAATAATTTTTCTAAATTTTCAATATCTAAATTCCTTTCAAGCGCCTAATGGCAGTAAAATTCTCAGAATTCTATATGAAGAAAATGATGAATCCGAGGTGGAAATTATTCATGTTACATCCCCGATGTTGGAAACGAGGAGGGCAGATTCATTCCGTTATCCTAAAACAGGTATTGTATTCCACATCTATAGTCACATCTATAGCATCTATAGTTATCCATTTCCCTCTTCCAAATATGATTCTTTCTGCAGTCATTCAAGGGAATAGTCAACATTGGTCATTACAGTCTTAATAAGGATTGTTTGTTCAACAGATGTCTCTAAAATAGATTTTGAATTAAGGCTGATCCTGTTGAAGTATTTTCAAAAGCGGGATGTCCACAAAATTGGTTACTTCAAGAAATGAATAAGAAGATATCTTTACCTACTAAATTAAGATTTTTTTAAGTGATTTTGTTCTATTTGGGTTTTTTTTGTTTGTTTGGTTGGTTTTTTGGTGGTACTGGGGTTTGAACTTGGTCTCAACCTTGCTAGACAGGCTCTCTACGATTTTGTTCTTAATAAAGTATACATTTTTTTGTTTTGCTACTTATAGCATTTCAATAGTAAAAATGGTTTTTCCCTTATTTCATACTGACTGTTCATGAGTTTTAGCCTTTCTATTTTTCATTTTTTTGATACTCATAAAAAAAAGTATGAATTTGAGATGGGCTTCTGAGATTCTTAAGCAATAAAGCCCTGACTATCTACAGTATTCCTAACTTAAGTAAATTATGAAGAGCATTGATCTGGCAAAATTAGTTTGAGTAACTTTGGATGTGTATTGCTATTCATTTATGTCTGTTTTTTAAAGGAACAGCAAATCCAAAAGTCACGTTTAAGATGTCAGAAATCATAATTGATGCTAAAGGCAGAGTAAGTATAAAATGTTAAGTTGACTTTCTGTGTGCTTTGTCTAGTCTAATAGTCTGGTAAGGTCTTTGATACACTTTTTTTTTTTTTTTGGCTTGTTTAATTTGCTGAGATATCAGGGAGTCATGATTTTTGGGTTGAAGTAATTTTCTACTTTCAAAACTTTCTGCTGGTACCAAGATAAGAGTGTAGGGATGTGTATGTGTAATACTCCTTTCCAACAGTTTTTCTTCTTTACCTTTCTTAATTCTTTGATCAACATAGTAATTTACCTTCTGTGGTTGGGCACGTAGGGTATGTGTCTATGGTGAATTAAATATCCTGCAATCCTCTTGTACTGCTGATTTCCATTTGGATAGTTAAATGCTTATAAGAGATATGTTCACAATATTACCTAAAAAGCAAATTTCTCTTCTAGACTTTTTTTTTTAACATAGCTTTGCTGAGACATAATTCACATACATTTCACTCATTTAAAGTTTAAAATTCAGTGGCTTTTAGTGTATTCACAGAGTTGGGCAAGCAGAGACTATTTTAGAACATTGTCATCACTTCAAACAGAACCCTTAGGGATAGAGTAGGGAAAAATCTTTTTTCTTTTTTCTGGTGGGACTGGGGTTTGAACTCATGACTTTGTTCTTGCAAAGCAGGCACTCTACCACTTGAACCTCACCTTCAGTCCATTTTACTCTGGTTATTTTGGAGATGAGTCTCTCAAACTGTGTGCCTGGGCTGGACTTGAAACACAATCCTCCAAATCTCAGCCTTCCAAGTAACTAGAATTACAGGTGTGTGAGCCACTGGTATCTTGCTAGAAGAATCTTAAGAATAATTTTACAAGCTAGCAAAGTGGCTCAAGTGGTAGAGTTCCTGCCTAGCAAGTGTGAGGACCTGAGTTCAACCCCCAGTAATGCAAAAAAAAGAAAAAGAAATCTTAGATATCATCCCCCACTAATCAACCACTAAAGATTTATCCACTTGGAACATTCCATATAAGTGAAATTATACAATATGTAGTCTGATTTCTTTCACTTAGGTTAATGTTTTCAGAGTCCATCCATTTGCACCCCAAATAAATACATCATTTCTTTTTTCTTTTCTTTTTTTGGTGGTTGTTAGAATGTTTTTGTATGTGTGTTTTTGTATGGAGCTCAAATCCAGGGCTTCAAGCATACTGCTGTTCTGCCATTGATCTACAGCCTCAGCCCAAGTACTTCAATTCTTTTTATTGATAAATAATATTTCATTGTGGGGATTACCACAGTTTATTCATCCATTCTTCAGTTGATAGATAATGAATATTTGGACTAATTTACTTTTTTAATGTTAGCTTCATTTCTCTAGATATCTAGGAATGAAATTGTTGGATCACAATAACTCTATGTTTAATCTTCTTTGTTTTCAAAAATAACTGCACTATTTTATGTTCCCACTAACAGAACATGAGGTTTCCAGTTCCTTCACATCATCACTAACACTTGTTATTGTCCATCTTGTTTATTATCACTGTCCTGGTAGGTTTGAAGTGATATCTCATTGTGATTTTTTTCTTTTTTTTTTTTTGACAGCACTGGGTTTGAACTGAGGGTCTCATACTTGCTAGGCAGGTACTCTGCCAGTTGAGCTACTCTTGCAACCCTGTTTTTGTGTTGGTTTTTTTTGAGATAGGGTCTCTCAAACTATTTCTCCACACTGGCTTCAAACCACTAACCTGATCTCTGCCTTCTGAGTATCTTAGATTACATTACCAGCATTAGATTAGATTACCAGCATTTGGCTTCATTGTAGTTTTGATTTACATTTCACTCATGGTTAATGATGTTGAGCACTTTTTTTTCTGTGTTTATTAACCATTTACATATCTTCTTTGGAGGAATGTCTATTCAGATTATTTTAAAAATAAATAACAAAAATTACTTATTTTTAAAACTGTGCTTGCTAGACCTTTATAGGAAAAAAGTTTGCTTGCCCAGGGCCATCTCTTTCATATATTTCACAAATATATTTTAGGCTAAAATATACAGAACTAAGGACTATTATTTTTCCTAGATACTAGAATTTAAAGTGATTGAAACAGTTCTATTAGTATGAATTCAAGAAAAAGACTTTTGGGCTATGCTAATTTTTACGTGGATGTTTTTGTTGTTTTGGTGGCACTGGGGTTTGAACTCAGAGCCTTGTGCTTACTAGTCAAGTACTCTATTTAAGCCACACCTCCAGCCAAGACTAACTAATTCTTGTGGTTAGAACTTTCATAGGCATGAAAGGCACCAGTACAGATAACCCACAACTTACAACTGGTTACTGTATACTTTGTTTTAAAATACCTGAGTCTGAATAAGTACTCTGCTATTAAAGGGGATGATTTAAGTAGACTAGTGAGCTAATTATTTATATCAATCTACTATAACAAGATTTCTTTTTTTCTTTTTTAATAGATTATAGATGTCATAGATAAAGAACTAATTCAACCTTTTGAGATTCTGTTTGAAGGAGTTGAATATATTGCCAGAGCTGGATGGACTCCAGAGGGAAAATAGTGCGTATGTTAAATTGTCACTTCTTTACAACTAATTTAGGATCCAGATCTTTAAAATTATCGATGCTCCTGAATTTTCCTTAAAGTGGCAGCTGCCTTCACATGTAAGTTTGTAGTATACTTATTCCTACAGAAGGAATTTTTCCTGAACAAAGTAGACTTACAGATTTTTAATCTTATAAGTGTGTTGTATTTTAATTTTCTCATTTATGGTTCACAGTGTTATTTGTAGTTAAGTTGTATGACTTCAAGGCTTATACCTAAATGTGTATTTGGTTGTATACTTTAGGCAGAAATACTTGTACAGCCTTATTACATACAGTTATGCGTAGTTCTTGTATCTAATATAGACCCCTGGAGTTTTATGAGACTGGCATTTATGGACACTAAAGGTAGGATACAGTTTCAAAGACCAAATGTGAGTGGTTTTGGAAAATTTTAAAAAACAAACCAGTTTTAAACCCTGTTCAAGCTTACTTTTTTTTTTTTTTCCCTTGAGGTGCTGGGAATTGAACCCAAGGCTTTGCTCATGCTAAGCAAGCACTCTATTTCTGTGCTATACTCCCAGCCCTCTTGATTGCTTTTAAAAATAAATGTAGATAATTTTTATTTAGCTGTTCATAAGTAATAATTTAGTATATTCTAAAGCAGTTCTTTCATTGTAACTATAGAAATAATTGGTAGGTGCCAAAGGAGAAAATATGGGATTTTTCATTTTCTGAGAGTTTTCTTTATCTCTGGTGTTTGTTTGTTTGCTTAAATAGTGCCTGGTCCATCCTACTAGATCGTTCCCAAACTCGCCTACAGATAGTGTTGATCCCTCCTGAGTTATTTATCCCAGTAGAAGATGATGCCATGGAAAGACAGAGGCTCATCGAGTCTGTGCCTGACTCTGTGACACCACTGATTATCTATGAAGAAACGACAGACATCTGGATAAATGTAGGCAATTTTAATATCCTGGACTTGGCTAAAGATTTTCTCAGGGTGGTAAAACAAGTGAAGTTTTATAGCAAACTATTAAAATGCATTTTTTTAAGTGCAAAGGAACTATGAACGTTATTTCCTTAGCTTGAACCTTTCAAGTTGGAATGATGGTTCCAGAATGAAGTGGTTTATAGATAGAAAGTCAGTGCCATTTAGTGACATCTCACTTGTGATGACAGATTTGTTCCTGGACATATCAGGAATTGAATACACATTTTGAACACTCATTTCCAGCCTTTTCTTGCTTTTGAGAGAGTCTAGAAAAGACTCTCTTCTAAGTTGGCAAACTATACCTAAATATACCAGGTTTAATTAAATTTTGCATTTTCCATTTTAGCATGAAAACTTAAAAACTAGATACAAAAGAAATAAATAAAGCCAGCTTACTCTCTAGCTGAGTATAGCCTTCATACAATTCACCTAAAACAAATGAACATCTGTTTTCCTCAGTTGTTAGAATATTTCTCTTTGGAAAATAAAAGTAAAAAATGTTGTTCTTCATCATTTCTATAATAGGATTTATGTTATTAAACAAACCTTGTGCCATGTTCCAAGATTACCGAGATGGTGAATAAGAAAAAGCATTGGTCATATTTTTCTTTCTTTCTTTTTTTTTTTTTTTCTTTCACTTGGAAACACTTATTTCTCAATGGTTGAAGTTTTTGACTAAAGTAAAATAAATATGAAAGGCCTAGGCAAAACCTATTATTCTAAGTATTCCATACTCCTGACACTGGGCAGTAATTTATATTTTAATGTATGTTTATCAGGTATTCTTTCTTCTCTAGCTTAATTTTTATGCAGTGTTTTCTTTGATGTGTATAGTAAATTAAGCTATTCATTTTACAGATCCACGATATATTTCATGTTTTTCCCCAAACTCATGAAGATGAAATTGAGTTTATTTTTGCCTCTGAATGCAAAACAGGTTTCCGTCATTTGTATAAAATCACATCCATTTTAAAGGAGAGCAAATACAAACGATCCAGTGGTGGGCTGCCTGCCCCAAGTAAGAATCTTTTATTTTTTTAAAAAAGAAAAAATGTTGGGTTCAGAAGGTGGGAGGGACAGGAGAGTATAATGTCTCTTTAATGTTCCTTACAAGCATCAGTACTTGCTTCATCAAGCTTAATGTATACGTTAAACTAAAACATAAACGTTACATGTGTAAAACCACAGAACAAAGTTCTCCATGGATATGTAACAAACTAGTAATCGTTAATATATCCAGTGGGAATGCTCATTTTGACTTTGTACTTTTGCCTGATTATAATTTTGTAATCAGTTTAAGTTTTATAATTTGTTTAAAGTGAGCCCATATTAGTTTTATATTTAAAAAGCTATTTTTAAAATGTTGTATCAGGGCTGGGGATGTGGGTTACTGGAAGACGTACTTGCCTAGCATGAGTAAAGCCCAAAACATTAAGTTAAATTTTAAAATAACTTATTATGTAATCATTGGCTACCTTTATACACGAGAAGTTTCTTAAGTGCTCTTCATCTTCACTGAAGGTAATTTACAGTTACATCTCTTCAGATTGACATAATTGCATTGCCTGAAGTGAAAGTAAATATTATGTTACAGCTGAAGTTAATTTCTCTTTAAAAATTCATGGTTCTCCTTGTAGGGAATGTAATATAGAATGTAATAGAATGTACTAGAAAAAGTGAAATGGGGGCTGGAGATGTAGCTCAGTGATTGAGTGCTTGCCTGCTAGCATGCACGACACCAGGCCCAACCACTGCAAAGCAAAATAAACAAAAAAAAGTAAAATAGTACATTAATTAATTTCCCTGGAAACTGAGTTACAGTTTTCTACTTTAATAATATAGTTTGTTTTAGAATACTAAGCAATTTGATAAGTTGTGTTCTATGTTTAACTGCTATTTGTAGCAAATTCAACCTTTTAAAAAATTGTGGCAAAATATACACAATTTTGTATACCATTTTGACTATTTTTAAGGGTACAGTTTAGTGGCATTAAGTACCTTCATATTTTTGTGTGACCATCACCACCATTTATCTCCAGAATTTTTTCCATAACCTACCCATTAAATAGTAACTCCCCATTCCTCTACCTACAACCCCTGGCAAGCACTTTCTGTCTCTATGAATTTAGCTACTCTAGAGACCTCATTTAAGTAGTGTCATACAGTATTTATCCCTTTGTGACTGGCTTATTTCATGTCTTCAAGGTTCATCCATGTTATAGCATGTGTCTAAATTTCCTTTTTAAGGCTGGATAATATTCCATTGCATTATATACCACATTTTGTTTATCCAGTATTTATCAGTGGACACCTGGGTTGTTTCTACCTTTTGGCTGTTGTGAGTAATGTTATCAACATGGGTGTGCAGATACCTGCTCCTGTCCCAGCTTTTAATTCTTTTGGGTGTATGTACTCAGAAGTAGAATTCCCCTGCATCATCTCTTTGAGAAATTGCCACACTGCAATGGTGGGGTTGCATCATTTTACACTCTAATCCATCGGCACACACTCAGCATACTTGAACTCACCCCTTCACTGCTCCCTTTCACCCCCTCCCCTTACATACATTTGTATACATTATTTACATCATAATTTCTTTTTGATTTTTTTGAGACAGCATCTTGTTACATAGTCTAGACTAACCTTACTATTGTAGCCCAGGGTGACCTAGAATTGCAGTCCTCCTGCCTTGGTTTCTCAAGTGCTGGGATTACAGTTAGGCACTACCACACCAGCTGAGTTTTGATTCCTTACATTCTCAACAATAATTTTTGTTGCTGCTTTTTTGCTAATAGCCATCCTAGTGGGTGTGAAAGTGATATATCATTGTAGTTTTGACTTCAGTTCCCTAATGATCAATGTTGATAAGTATCTTTCCATGTACACTTTGGCCATTTGTGTATCTTCTTTGGAGAAATGTTTGTTTTTCCTATTTTTTATTGGATTGTTTATTTTTTCAAGATGACCTTTTAATTACTACTCATGTTTGGGAAGCAGTGAGCTACATCTTGAGATTAGCAGCGTAAATGATACCTATGACTCTGCTTCTTTCTTTTTTTTTTTATGGTTTCATTTTGACATTTTTTTAATTGTTTTATTATTCATATGTGCTCTGCTTCTTTCTTTAACTTAATTTTTTTAAGGCAGGGGCAAGCAAGATCTTATCTGTCCAAGATAGGAAATGTTTTCCTTAGAGTATTAGCTTAGCCCTGAGTTTGAAACTGTTCTTTATTGTTCATAAGCTAAATCCACTTATGGAATTCCAGAAAGTTTAGTGATGAAGACTGATCAAAGAGCTGTAATAATTGATTAACTGAAGCAACAGTTTTGGAACAATAATAATACAATGATAACTTAAAATTGTGTACCCCAGTTAGAGTATAAGAAGAATTATTACCTCAGTTAACATTCATCCCAGAATGCCATGCCTCTCTGTTTGCTATCAGGGAGTGCCTCAGTTTGTCTGCCTCTTCTTTGCTTTTCTCTCTCTTTTTTTCTTTTTTCTTGGTCTGAGTTTTCCTCCTTTTCCTTCATATCCACTTCATTTTCCTCCTGCCTCCTTTTCTTCCTTAAGTGCCTATAACATGAAACTGTTAGTACTTGTCATATACATGTTAAATATGCTTTATTTTCTATCCATAGAGTTTAAAATACTAAGTTGAATTTTTGTATCTTAGAAAAATAAAGTTGATTTTTTTTAACTGGCCATCTTCAGCTGTCACTCCCTGCATCCATAGATCTAAGTAGCTAGGAAAAGAGAAACGATTTTCACTTTTCAGCCTCCTCCTTAGGTCATTGAGAAGGCCTTAAGACAGAATCTCATTACAGACAAGTAGGACAAAAATAAAATAAAGTAACTCACCCAGTTTACTTTTTGGCAATAAAGAACATTTGTATTAAAATTTTTCTTCTTCGGCTTTTAAAGTTCTTTGTAGAAAAAATACCTTGTCAACTTGGTAAACCTCTTTCTGTAACTGAAGGTCCAAGAATACAAGTGGTTTTGAGGGGTTTTTTTGGCTAAGGAAAAAAAAAATCTAATTTTGCTGTCACATTGTCTACCTGGGTCTTTTTATCATTATTCTAGAGTACTGAGAAAACTTGTAACTCGTATTTTTTTAACTACAGACTTTTTATTGGAGTGAAATTTATACAACATTAAGTTAATCATTTTAAAATATGTAAGACAGTGTCATTTAGCACTTCACAGTGTTGTACAACCACCTCCTGTACCTAGTTCCAAAACATTTTCATTGCTCCAAACATAACTGATTTTTCTAAATGTAACTTTTTGGAAAAGACAATTTAGAAAACTATTTTACATTGTTTCATTTGTTTATAGTCTGGCACAAAGTACTGAATTATGACTGTATTTATCTTTAGGTGATTTCAAGTGTCCTATCAAAGAGGAAATAGCAATTACCAGTGGTGAATGGGAAGTCCTTGGCCGGCATGGATCTAATGTATGTCCTTTTATTCTGCTGATGTTTTGTCAACACCTGCTGTTGTCTATACAGTGCAAAAATCATAATGCAACTTAATATAACCCCAGTGTTTTGAAAATATTAAGTTAGGGCCTAAAAGAACTCAAGTTTCGGGAAAGGAAGAATCTTAGTTTAAATTATAAATCTCATCTGTTTTATAACCTTAATGTTAGATATGTTCTGGTTACTAAAGGTCACATTTTCAAATATATTATTGCTACTTAAGAAGCAATCCATACTTTTGGGGTCTAGCAGAAGTTGTGAGTTAGAAGATAGCTTGAAAATCATTTTTAAATTTATTATAGAAGACCATTTATGTTATTTCAGGTTTTTTGGTGTTTTTTTTTTTTTTGTGGTGGTACTGGGGTTTGAACTCAGTGCCTCACGCTTGCTAGACAGGTTCTCTACCACTTGAGCCACTTCTCCAGCCCTGTTTTTTGTGTTAGGTTTTTTTGAGATAGGGTCTCATGAACTATTTGCCAGGGGCTGACTTGGGACTGTGATCCTTCTGATTTCTGCCTCCTGAGTAGCTGTGGCCTCACTTATGTTATTTCTGCATTAGAAATTATATTTGCTAGGTCTGAGGCAGTGACTCTTTCATTCTTCTATTTATCTTATCTCACAAATTTAAACTGATAGCTACCACCTCCAAAGAGGTTTGGGCTTAGACTAATAGGGAAGAAGATGGAGACTCATGCAGGTTTCTTCTCAGCATGTAGTTATCTATAGCAATTTAGTGAGTTTTGTTTTTGTTTTTGTTTTTGTTTACTTTCCTGACTTACAGTACTTTTCATTTGTTTCAGCTTTTGTTTAGATAGTCAGTTTCATTAGATCTCTAAAAACTCCATCTTTTAATTACACCAGGAATTAGTGAAGACCTAAATGTGATTTCTTCAAATCGATTTACTAAAGGACTACATTTACTGGCTACTTTAGAAATCACTGTAGGGTGATAAAGGAAAAAAAGTGAAGATACAGGTCCCATGTTTGTTTTTTGTTTGTAAAAACTTTAGAATATCATAGACCGCCTTTAAAATCTCATTCCACTGAGAGTCATGGCCTTCTAGTTGTAGGTCCAAATAAATTTATTTTTCTGTTTAGGGACCTCAGATGAGAAAAAAATCTTACTGTGTAATTTTAGGTCCTGGTAACAAAGAATTATACTTAATGTAAATTTCATGCAGTACGATGGTTGGAGGATAATACTGAGGGAATCCCCCTAAATCGTATGTATGCAGAGCTGATGCTTATTTGGCAACCTGAAAGGTTCTATTTGCCACTATGTACATCAGTTTTGTTAATGACATGCCTATTTCTCTTTCCCTCTTCCTCTTTTATATTCCCTATATCCTTGCTTTGTTTTTTTGCCTTTAAGTTACCTTTTCCCTCTGCTTTTTGCAAGTGGCCTTGTTACTGTGAAATTTTTATTTATCTATTTCTCTATTTATTTATTTACTTATTTATTTGCAGTAGTGGGGATTGAACTCAGGGCCTGGTGCCACTCAAAATCTCTAATGTCAATAATGGGGTAAAAATTTGAGACTTAAGCTCATGCACTTCTTACTGTTAAGGGTGGTACTTAAAGTGTGGTCCTAGACCAGCAGCAAAACATCAGCATAACTTTGGAAATTATTAGAAATGCAGATATGGGGATCTACCCTAGACGTCCTGTATTAGTATCTCTGGTGGTGAGGCCCAGCAATCTGTTTAACAAGTCCTCCAGAAGATTGTACTCCTGTTGAACATAAGTGGCTACATGAAACTAAGAAGCCATGATGATGGGGGGTGAGGAATTGAGCAGTTACTAGTTCAGTTTTGAATGACCTAACTCCCAGCTGCTTTAAGAACAGAACTAGTCCTAACCTTTTGGAGAGATTAACACCTGTGAAGATTCTGGGTGTTGTTTTGTATAGCAGATAAGATCATTTAGGTATTTATACATCCAGGAAAGATGTTTAATGATGAAGAATAAATTACCTAGAAAAAAATGAGACATTTAAAAATACTTGCTTTTAGAAATGTATCTGTGTTATCTTAACATAGTAATGTTAAAATTTTGAATTTTACTAAACTTTGAGTAGGCTGGTAAGATGTTTTTTAAAGGAGCAAAAAAAAAGGAAGTCACTTATTTAGAATAAATTTACTGTAATTTGGAAAGAATATTGAGTTAATTCAGCTCTGAGTTTATCTGCAGTTTTTTTTTTAGTTCTGAATGATGGCTTAAAAGAGTTTATACAGGAGTAAGGACGTAGCTCAGTGATAGAGCACTTGCCTAGCAGGCACAAGGCCCTGGATTTGATGACCAGCATTGAAAAAAAAAATCTTATCCCCACTTGTTTATAAATAGTTGAAACTGTGAATGAGTTCAATTACTCCCCAACCTACTAGATAAACGCTTTTGCAAATTTGTACAAAAGACTTAAAAATGTATTCAGATAATACTATACTAAGAAATATACAGAATATTAAAATTAATTTCTTTCAAGTATGCTTGAATTGTTCACCTAAGATGCAACACTCTAAAGAGTTATTTTAGCTGGGCACTGGTGGCTCACCCTATAATCCTAGCTACTCAGGAGGCAGTGATCAGGAGCATCACGGTTCAAACCCAGCCCCAGACAAGTAGTTTGTGAGATCCTATCTCAAAAAAAAAAAGGGCTGGCAGAGTGGCTTAAGCAGTTTGAATGCCTTGCCTAGCAAGTGTGAGGCCCTGAGTTCAAACCCCAATGTGGCTAAAAAAAAAAAAAAAAGAGTGATTGTAAGGAAATAATTCTTGTATTTTTAGGAAAGCACACATTTGAAACAGATAAAAAATTATACAAGCAGCATGTAACTCAGGTGTCCTTTTTTCTTCTAGCCAGCATCTATTCTTAGCAGTAAGGCACCAGCAAAACCACTGAAGTATGTAGCAAGTAAAGTGAAAGAAGCTCAAGTGAAAGGGCTCAGATGATCTGAATAAAATCGGGGGTTGTTGGTTTACTGGCTTTGTCAGCGTGGTACTAGTATGAATTTTTGCTGTTGTTTTGGCAGATCCAGGTCGATGAAGTCAGAAGACTGGTATATTTTGAAGGCACCAAAGACTCCCCTTTAGAACATCACCTGTATGTGGTCAGTTATGTAAATCCTGGAGAGGTGACAAGGCTGACCGACCGTGGCTATTCCCATTCTTGCTGCATCAGCCGGGTATTATGTCCCTGTTAAAAAGAGTTTCCTATCATATAAAAAAACCCTCTGCTCCTATAATATTCCTTTTGAATGGTATGGAAGTTGGTGAAGTTGGCCTGCAGAAGCCCCATTCTCTTAAGAAATGCTTTAAAACACAGCCTTGACCTTAACATCGTGTATTTACATAAATAGTCAAATTCTTATTATGCTCTTTTGCTATAGCATCAGTGCAGATGCAACAGCAGATAACCTTTTTTCACTTTTCCCTGAGGAAACATGTGATTGTTTCTCCTTTCTCTAGCATTGTGACTTCTTTATAAGTAAGTATAGTAACCAGAAGAATCCACACTGTGTGTCCCTTTACAAACTGTCAAGTCCCGAAGATGACCCAACTTGCAAAACAAAGGAATTTTGGGCTACCATTTTGGATTCAGCAGGTACTTCTTTTCACTGAACCTGGCCTTAAGTAGGATTAAAACATTAGTACACTACTCTTGTGTTATATATCCATGTTTCCTGGACAGTGTTCTTATTTCTCACCCCTGACCTGCTGAGCTTCTGATTGATACAACCCCTCATGTTCTATTACCTTCCAAATAAGATGGGTTACCTCTCACTAAGCAGGCACAGGACTGGAAGGCCTTTTTGAAAATGAGATTAAAATAATGTATTCTGAACTGGTAAGACCCTTTAACAGGGAAGCTGCAGCTTTAGGGAGCAATTAGCTTACAGCTTTCTTAAAGTTTTGAAGTACTTGCAATAACCATCTTCATAAAAGTTGGCCCACTTAAGTGTATGGGAGTGAATAACACTGTGGGTTATTTTTTTAATGCTTGAGTTCTTAAACATAAAGAATGAACTGATTTTATACATCTTTTAATCCACCTTATCCCCAAATCTACTTCCCTATTAAGTATTTTCAACTCATTAATATTTGCTAAGGACTTAAAAAATTAGTGCAGAACCAAAGAGTTTAGGTATATTCTAATGTCTGCAAGCAGAATTTGCAATATGATAATGTTCTCTGCTTGGACTATAACGTCATCTATTGTACAGATATCAAGGGAGAGGTGGGTACTGCTTTGGTAAACCAAAGACTGATAGTGATTCTTTTTCTGCATTGTGATTGACTTACTCTCTAATCAGAAACAAACGTTTATTGAACACCTGCTCTGAACAAGTTAAATTAACTAAATTAAACATCTGCTTCTTGTCCCCCTCCCAACTTCATTGAAATATACCCTAGATAATTTAAGGTTTGTTAGATTTCTAGAAGATGAATATTCTTGCTGAATTTCTTTCTTGTCTCATCTGAAAGGGAGTGGTCAATTATTTGTGGAGGGTGGGATCTGAATTTTGATATGTTCTTCCTTGCTTTCATATTATAGAGCTCCTGTAAGATCTCTTTTTACAGACTCTTTATGTTGCCTACTCACAGGTCCTCTTCCTGACTATACCCCTCCAGAAATTTTCTCTTTTGAAAGTACCACTGGATTTACATTGTATGGAATGCTGTACAAGCCTCATGATCTGCAACCTGGAAAGAAATACCCCACTGTGCTATTTATCTACGGTGGTCCTCAGGTGGGTAGATAAATGATGTAAACATACACACATGCACATATATTTTAGATAACTTTTTTTAATGTCTAGTAAGTTACGATAAGAGGTTGAACAGTATTTGGCTTCTTTTGTTTTTTCATTATCCAATTTAGGAGTTGAGAAAGCTGGCTGTTTTAAGTTTAAATGGCTAATTTGTAAATCATCATCAATTTGTTACTTTACAGTGAGGACTATAACTATTGGAGCAGTGGGATTCTCATGTCAGTGGGTACATATGCTGCTCTCTATGTAGAGAAACTTTGGTTAATTGTTAATTTTTTAAATATTTACTCTTGCCCATGGGTTTGATCCCCAATTCCAGAAAAATAAGTAAAATTTAAAAGTAAAATGAAATGTTTACTCTTGATTATGTATCTTTCATTGAGCCCTTAAAAAAATTAGGATATGTTTACATTCTAATGAAACTCTTAGCCTCAATAATATCCTTTATAATTATGCCAGTTATTTAGTATCTGGAAATGTAGCTAAATACCAAGTTGTACAAAGACAAAGTAATAATAAGCCATAAAATCTCAAGGATGATGGTCATGTATTAAGTTAAATCTCTTGGCCCTCTTTAGGTACATCTTTATGTTTTGTTTACAGATAAAACATAGTTCATATTTGTGTAATTGTCATCTACACAAATCACAAGAGTTAAATTAGACTTCTATTAAAAACTTGAAGCCACATCTTTGTAAACTTAAAAAGAAACAGCTTGGCTGGGCATAGTGGTTCCAGCTACTTGGGAGGTGGAGGTAGGAAGATCATGGTCTGAGATCAGCCCCGGCAAAAGCCTGAGACCCTACCCAAAAAGCAAACTAAAAGCAGAAGACCTGGGGGTAGATGCTTGCCTAGCAAGTGCAAAGTCCTGAGTTCAAACTAAAGTACCACTAAAAAAAAAAAAGAAAAAGGAAAGGAAGAAAGAGAAAACGAGAACAAATGGATTAACACAAAGAACTTCAAGCGAAAAATTTTAGGTCATGCTCAGAAGCTTTACAGCACTGTTATATTACTTTGACAAAAGCGCGAAAGAAGGAGTGTGTTTTTCCTTCCCAGTAAAGAAATCATATATAAGGTACAGATAGATACATGGAGGGACTCTATAAAACCTAGATTTTAAAACTAAAGGACTCTTTATATTGGTAACTGAGTTTAAAAAGACTTAGCCACATGAAAAGATGCCTAGTATCACTAATTATTAGGGAGATGTAAATCAAAACCACAAGGAAGAATTAGTCCACACCCATTAGAATAGCTGTTAAAAGAAAATAATGTTGTCCAGGCTGTGGCGAAATTGGAACCCTAGTCCATTACGCTAGGAATGTAATAGAGTATAACTGCTGTATAAAACAATGTGGCAGCTCCTCAAAAATCAGACAGAATTACCACATGGTTCACACATTCTGCTTCTGGGCCTATACCCAAAAGGATTGAAAGCAGGGATGAACCGATAATTTGTACAACTATGTCCATACTAACCAAGAGGTAGAAACAACCCAGGTGTCCATCAATTGATGGATGGGTAAACAAAATGTGGTATGTACATACAATGGAGTATTGCTCATCCCTACCGAGGAAACCTGCATGCGCTACAATGGGATGAACCTTGAGGGCATTATACTAAGTGAAACAGACCAGTCACACAAGGACAAAGAGTGTTACTTCACTTATGTGAAGTACCTGGAGTAGACAAACTCATAGAGATAGAAAGTAAGGTAGAGGTTTTCCAAGAATAGAAGGAGAGAGAAAGCAGTTATTTAATGGGCACAGAGTTTCTGTTAGGATAATAAAAAGAAGTTCTGGAAATGGATAATGGTTTTGGTTGTACAGAGTTGTGAATTTACCCTTAAAGTGGCTAACATGTTATGTATATTTTACCATAATAAAAATGTCTTAGCCAGTTCTATGGGGATTTACTTATTTTATGGAATGCTTCATGAATTTGCTTGTCATCCTTGTACAGGAATCATGCTAATCTCTGTATTCTTCCAATTTTAGTATAAGAGCTGCTAAAGCAAGCACTAGTTTTGTTTTTTGAGACGGTAAATTTTTGTAGTCCAGGCTAGCCTGGAACTCTGTTGCCTACATTGGATTCAAACTTGTGATCTTCCTGCCTTAGCCTCCTAGGTGCTGGGATTACAGGTGTGCACCACCATGCCCAGCAATTGTATCTAATTCAATTTAAATAATTATTTAATTCTTTGGAGTGCTTTATGAATACAGCTGTGAGGTTTTTTTGCACTTACAGAAACAATCATGTTTTAAATGCTATGAATAATTTCTACCATGTGGTTTTTGAAAAGTTGCAAGTGACTTAGGATGTTTTATTGATTTCTTTCTCAAAGAATTCTTTGGAAGCATGTAAATTTGGTGTGATATGGCATTCAATTTGCAGGGACATTTCTCCTTGAGATTTCCCATAGTGCAGTGCATCTAACACTTTGACACTTCAACCCAATGGAAGATCATCCATCCTCTTGCTTGATGACTCCTTAATATAAAACTAGGTCTTTTTAATAGCACACAATAATTTCATGAAATGTGGTTCAGTCCTATAAGAGTGCAGTGTGCCTCTGATCCAAACTGTGTTCTTTCTTGGTGTAGTCAGGTAAAAATTAGAATTAATTGAAATAGCAATAATAGTGAATAGTGTCACAATTCAAAACTTGACTTGGACATTAAAGGCAGCAATTTCTGAGGGTCAGAAAAGAGTGAAATTAGGGGTTGAATGTATAGCTCAGTTGTATAGCATTTGCTTACTGTGCACAAAGACCTGGGTTTAATCCCCAGCACTGAAAAATAAGTAAATAAATGTTTATTTAATAAATACTTGTGGTGTTTCCTGGAATGTGCCAGACACTCTTTTATAGATACCAGTGAAACAGAGGCTAGGTGATAGCATGGCTCACACCTTGAGGAATTGATACTGAAGGAGACTTTTGTAATCCCAGGGTCAAAGGAAATTGTGCTCAGATATCTTCTCTGTGAAGCAGCATACTTCTAGGCTGCAAAGGCAAAAAACATTGTCTCTGAGGGAAGGTGGGCACATCAGGCAATTGAGTTCACTTTCTATATGTGATAGCAAGAAAAGAAGAGCGATAGTTTGCTTTTTAATGCTCATATTTATGTTTTCCTATTCTTTCTCTTTAAAAGCACCTTTACCCCCAGATCCCCTCTTTCTAAGGTTAGGAAGGAAAAAAACATTCTCGTATCTCCAGTTTTCATTCGCTCATTCAGCAAATAGTTATGGAGGTCCTAGGTGCTAGATACTACTCTTGGCAGTGAGGATATAAGTGAACAAGTCAGACTAATGTCCTATCCTCACAGGTCATACCAGGGAAAGCAATGAACCAGGAGACGTGTAAAAGATAAGACTTCATATAATGTAAGTGCTATAAAAACGATTGCTTGTGGGCTGGAGACACCTACCTAGTAAGTGCAAGGCCCCAAGTTCAAATCCCAGTACTGCCAAAAAAATTGTTTGGAATGGGGATGGTAAAATGGGAGCTCTGAGAGGAAGGTCAGGGAAACTAGACTTCTTACTTGAGGATACTCACATTGAGAAAGGAGTCATGTTGAGGGTCTGAAGAAGAGTATTCCACCCAGAGGAGACAATAAATGCCAGTGTCCTGGGGTTAGAGCCACCTTACCAGTGTTGATAATTGGGTTAAAGTTCAGTGCACTGTGGGGAATAGTATGAGCTGAACTCAGAGGTTGCCAAGCCCAGATAATTTAAGGTCTCAAAGGCCACATGAAGAGTTTAGATCTTGGGCTGGCAGTATAGCTCAGTAGTAGAGCACTTGTCTAGCATTTGTAAGGTCCTGAATTCAATACTCAATACCAAAAAAGAAAAAAAAAAAAGCTTTAGATATTTTTTTTTCTGAAGGATAATAGTAGCCCTTACAGGGAACCAAACTGCTTATATCTCATTTGCGTTTTTAAAACATTACTCTGCCACTACATAAACAAACACTAAAGAAAGGCAAGGATAGTACTGGGAAGAGCAGTTTGGCAGGTGTTGTAGTGGCATTAAACATCCAAAGTAGAAAGAAAAAATCCAATCCAAATGTCCTCTTCCCCCTCCTCCCACAATCTAACCTTTTTAGATGAGATCTTGCTAACTTTTCCGCCAGAATGTCCTTGAACATCAGTCTTCCCAATCTCCACTTCCCAAGTAGCTATAATTATATGCATGAACCATCATGACCAGCCTCTTTCCCATTTTACTAAGAGAAAAAAAAACGAAAAAACAGATTTTTTTGGGTGTTTTGGAAGTACTAGAAATTGCACTCAGGCACTTATGCTTGCTAGGCAGCCACTCTATCACTTGAGCTATTCTGCAAGACTTTTTTGTTTTGCTTATTGAGATAGGGTCTTGCTTTATGCCCTGGCCAACCTGAATCACGATCCTTCTGTTTGTTCTTCCCTGCATAGCTGTGATGACAGGCATGCAGTACCACATCTAGCTGTTGGTTGAGATGAGGTCTCATAAATGTTTTGCCCAGGCTAACCTCAAACCACTATTCTCCTGACCTCTAACTCCCAAGTAGCTAGGATTGAGCCACTGCATTCAGCTACAAACCACATTTTGAAAAATTAAAGACTTTGCTTATCTGAATGTCCATTAAGACTTGGAGCCTGTTGGACACCAGTGGCTCACACCTATAATCCTAGCTACTCATGAGGCAGCAATCAGGAGGGTCACAGTTCAAAGCCAGCCCGGGGCAAATAGTTCATGAGACTCTATCTTAAAAATACCCAACACAAAAACAAGGTCAGAGGAGTGGCAAGTGGTAGAGCACTGCCTAGCAAGCATGAGGCCCTGAGTTTAAACCCCAGTGCCACCCAAAAAAAAAAAAAAAAAAAGAAAGACTTGAAGCCTTATACATAGATGTTTGTATCTGCTAAACCAGTTGTGTTTGGAATATATAAAGTTTGAAACTTAATAATAACTGAATTTTAAAAACCAAAGATTTAAACCTGGCGGAGTGGTTCACATGGTAAGAGCACCTGCCTAGCAAGCATGAGGCCCTGAGTTCAAACCCCAGTGCCACCAAAAAAAAAAAAAAAAAAAAATCAAAGATTTCAATAGACATTTCACAAAAGAAGATATGCTGTAGCAAATGTTTATTGGAGAAGATACTCAGAATCATTAGTTTTTCAGGGAACTCCAAATTAGTACCACAATGAGATGCCAGTATGCATCTGTGAGAATGACTAAAATTAACCATCCTCAATGTTAGCCAGGAGAAAGTAAAACTCACACATTGTCAGGTAGGAAAGAAAAATAGCACAGCTACTGTAGAAAAGCTTCTCAATTTTTAAAAACAAACTTTATGTCCCAATGATGCTAGCAATAGGAAGTGCCATCAGAAGCAAGAACTGATGTTTGCTGGGTGCTGGTGGCTCACGCCTGTAATTCTAGCTACTCAGGAGGCAGAGATCAGGAAGATTATGGCTCAAAGCCAGCCCAGGCTAATAGTTCATGAGACCCTATCTCGAAAATATCCAACAAAAAAAGCAGGCTGGTGGAGTGACTCAAGTGGTAGAGCGCCTGCCTGGTAAGCGTGAAGCCCTGAGTTTAAATCCAAGTACCAGCCCCACCAAAAAAAAACCAAAACTGATGTTTACATGAGTTACATTTGTTATTTTCTGTATAAAGAGATTGAAATATGTTAACACTTAAAATTGTTACACTGTCTGCAGTTTTGACTTATAAAGATGCTAATAAATTTAATTGACATAATGTACATATTACACATATTATATAGTACAGTCTGAAATTCCTTTTTTTTTTTCTTTTGGTGATACTAGAGATTGCTAGGCAGTGCTCTACCACTTGAGCCACCCTAGCCCTTTTTGCTTCAGTTATTTTTCAGGTAGTTTCTCATGTTTTTGTCCTGGCCAGTCTGGACCGCAATCCTCCTGTTTACACCTCCCAGGTAGATGACAGGTACATGCCATCATGTCCAGCTTATTGATTGAGATGGGATCTTTTTGGCCCAGCTGTCCTCAAACCACAATCTTCCCTGACCACTCCCAAATAGCTGGGAATACAGAAGTGAACCACTGCCCCTGGCTTGATAATTCAATATATATTTATAATATTCTTTTTCTTTTGTTTTTTGTTTTGTTTGTTTGTGAGATGAGATCTTGCTATATCACCCAGGCCAGCCTGGAACTCCTGGACTCAAGCCACTCTCCTGCCTCAGTGATTAGGATTATAGACATGTGCCATTGCACTTGGTCTCTTTCTCATTTTTTTGAGAACCTTTCTTTAGTTTGTTTAATATCTTTCTTAGTGACCACCACTGCTATTTTTAGTCATGTATTGTTTTACAACCAAGAGACCTTCTGAGAAATGCCATTAGGCAATTTTATTATTATGCAAACATCACAGAGTATGCCTGTGCAAACCTAGATGGTACAAGTCAGTCACTTAGCATGACTTTCTGTTTTGTTTGTTTTTTGTTTTTTGAGATAGGGCACAGGCTGGCCTTGTCTCAGTCACCCCAGTGTTGGGATTATAGGCATGCATACCATGACCAGCCTCAATGTGACTTCTTCATGTAATCAAGAGATTCAGCAAACACAGGATTTGTGTGTTTGCCAATGTAGCAGCATACTGTTTTATAAGTAAACCTTTTTTTTTCCTGATTGTGCTGGGGATTGAACTCAGGGCCTTATGCATGCTAAGCACTCACTCTTCCACTGAGCTACACACCTAACCCTAACCTCATTTTTTAATAAGTAGATATTCCAAAACAATGATTATAAGTATAGCATAGTAAACATATAAACCAGTAGCTCAGTCATTTGCTATCATTGTCAATCATATGTAAGGTACACAGTTGTAGGCACTGTATTCTTTAATATTGGCAGCACATGTAGGATTGTTTACACCAACATCAGCACAATCACATGGCAGCTCTGATGTCACTGGGTGATAGGACTTTTTCAGCTACATTATGATCTTAGGAGACCACTATTGTGTGTGTGGCCTGATGTTGACCAAAACATCAGTTATGCTAGGCATAACTGAGGAATCCTCTTTTTCACTAGATGTTTTGTTTCTGATAAAACACTAAGACACATTTAACTTCTCAGTCTCTTTGAAATATAATCTCTAGGGTGAGAAAGTGATTTAAAAGTTGTCATTCTTTTCATACTAAGTTGTGTAACAGGAGAAAGGAAGTTGGATTGGCCACAGTGCTCCATTAAAATACTGCTTTCCCCACTGTTGCTCAGAGTCAACCCCTGAAGAGACAAGTGGGGAGGGAGGATGATCTTACTCATCTTTGGCACTGTTGCTTGAATGACACAGTTCTTCAGAGTAGACAGTGTAGCAGCTTTTCCTGAGGGGTAGGTTAATTCTCTTATCTTGTATATGATTGTCATCTAAGTTAGAGTTTTAAAATTCACAGTCGTTCAGTAATTCCTGAACCTTGTGTGTGAAGTTAGATAAGAAACAAAAACATGTTTATGAAAAGACCAATTAATTAAAAAATACATTTTAAAGGCACAATAACATTAAAATGTTAAGCTTCCTACTTTTTGCAATGCCCTGCCTCTTATGGTTTGTGTGCTACCAGATAAATTTCACTGAAGTTGTGTTTCTTCTTCAGGTGCAGTTGGTGAATAATCGGTTTAAAGGAGTCAAGTATTTCCGCTTAAATACCCTAGCCTCTCTGGGTTATGTGGTTGTGGTGATAGACAACAGGGGATCCTGTCACCGAGGGCTTAAATTTGAAGGCGCCTTTAAATATAAAATGGTGTGTGAGCATAAAACACTTTTCTCTGAAAGATATTTACATTTCCTGGTGCATTGTTCAGTGTGAAATCCTGGAGAAGGAGTTGGGGGAGGGGCTTGTGGCATAGGGGGTGGGATTCAGGGGTCGGAGGGAAGATGCAACTCATGCCTAATTGTATCTAACTTTGGGGAGCTAAGATAGAGCCACTTTTACATAGAAATACCCTCTCTTTCTATTTTGTATGTCCACCTTAGCCAGAAGGCAGCAGCGTTTAGTTTTTAGCATCTTGTACACTATTAAGGAGTAATGGAGATTTGTTCTGTCCTCTGTGAAGAGGGAAACCTACTGGTTAGTGCCTTCCTTGTGACAAGCCTCTTTCTCTCTACAGGAAGCTTTAATGCTACCTTTTAGAGATGTCCCATGTCCTTTCTGCTGCTTTGGGAAAGATGAGAATCCGATGTTCCTTTTGCACAGGAAGGCAGTTACTGTGCTTGCCAGTGTTTTGGACATGCTGAGTGAGACATGGCATTTTCTCCCACAGCCAGTTCTTTGACCTTATATTGTATTCTCATGTAAGTTTTTTGTTGTTTTTATTTTTGTTTTTGGTCAGTGAAGTGAGATTGTGTGCACTGGCAGGCCAACTAATATAGACAGGGTGATAGTGGTAGGAATAAGGACTTAATAGGGCATTAAAAAAATAGTACATTCCATTCCTAGAGGTATTGTGATAGAGAAATAGGAAGGTTAGGGCCTCAGGAGTGATTCCCTCTTCTTTACTGCACTGAGTCTTAAAAAGGAGAAGTAAAATTAATCTGTCTTAAGGGGACAAAGTTTTTGTCTTTGGGTATAGGAAGGCTTGTTACAAGAAAGATGCTGACCTCTTGGCAGACAACAGAACAAATGGAAATGGGACATACGCAATAGCAAGAGACCATTTGGGTAGCAATAGAAAGGAACTGTATGACTAAGTGACAACTCTAGGACAGGCTAGCACTAGAAGATATAAGCCCCTAGATTTTTTTTTTTTTAATTCCTGAAGACAGCAGATTCTCGGTTGTAAATGAATTCTAATGTGTTTGGGGGAGGAGTTGTTTATTTGTTTGGTTTTTTTTAAACAGTTGAAACAGGGTCTCACTATTATGTAGCCCAGGCTAACTTTGAAGTGTGATACTCCCACCTCTGCCTCCCAAGTGCTGGGATATTGACATGTGCCACCACACCCAGCTATGAATTCTAATATGGAAAAAACTACTATTATTTTTAGTAAAAACATCAGCTTTAAAAAGCACTCTTACAAGACTTTCACGCATCAGAATCAGTGAAGTGTTCTCCCTTTTTTGACAGGGGCAAATAGAAATTGATGATCAAGTGGAAGGACTCCAATATCTGGCATCTCGATATGATTTCATTGACTTAGATCGTGTGGGCATCCACGGCTGGTCCTATGGAGGGTACCTCTCCCTGATGGCATTAATGCAGAGGTCCGATATCTTCAGGGTACGTGACTTTCTATTGTACTTATTTTCGTAATAAGGGCAGAATTTCCTGTCAATTATAGATACATGAAAGTGTTTATTTTCTAAAGACTGACCCAGTTGGCAATATTGTGGAATGACAGGGTTTGTGTGTCTAACAGCCATGTAATATAGATAGATAGATAGATCTATAGCTATATATAGATATAGGTATACATATATGTCATGTCTTGGCATAATTTTATCAAAATACTTTTCGATTTGATCAATTTTTGGTTATTTATGGACATATACCAAAACAGTCATGATTGGTAAAACATATGCATACATATTGTTTTGTTATTGCTTGTTTAATTGTTGGATCATAAGCTCTGAGGCCCTATGCACCACTATATCCTCATCAGCCAAGCATAGTAGGCCTTTAATAAATCTGTGTTGAGCACAGGAGTACAGAACTCAGCACTACAATCTCAATACTTGGGAGGCAGAGGCAAGAGGATTGCCAGCCCACTGCAGCCTGGGTTACGTAGTAAAGACTCTATCAGAAACCACACACAAAGAGCACGGGACATGGCTCAAGTGGTAGAATGCTTGCCTAGAAAAGTTCCCCTCTGAGTAAATTCAAGGCCTGGGTCCAATCCCCAGGATGGGAAAAAAATAAATAAAACCACACAAAAAACAAATAAATATGATAGGGCTTTTGTTCTTGTATGTATATTCAGATAATCTTTATAGTAAGTACAAATAGACACTGAAGACTAGCATAATTTTCCCAAGCTTGCAGCTGTCGAGAAAGTTATTTGAAGTCAGGTGCCTGGTGGCACACACCTGTAATCCTAGGTACTTAAGAGTCTGAGATCTGGAATACCGAGGTTCAAGACCAACTTTAGCAAAAAATTCATGAGACCTCATTTCAACCAATAACTGGGTGCAGTGGTACACCTGTCATCCCAAGCTACATGGGAGGCTGAGATGGGGAGGATCATGGTTCCACGCCAGCCCAGGCAAAAAAGTTTGTGAGACACAATCTCAACAGAAAAAAGTTTGGCACAGTGGTTTGCACCTCTCATCCCAGCCACGGTGGGAATCAAAAAATAGGAGGATCATGGTCCAGGCCATGGGCAAAATCAAGACCCCCATCTCCTAAAAACCAGAGCAAAAAGGGCTAGAGGCATGACTCAAGTGGTAGAACACCTGCCTAGCAAGCACAGAGTCCTGAGTTCAAACCAACCAAAAAAAAATAAAGAATTAGAACATTTAAATATAAAACTGTGTAGGAGCCTTAAGATGAGTGAGTTTTAGTACTTAAATATAGTTCATTCTTGTTTTAAATTCTGTACTACCAACAAAAGCTAAAAAAAAAAAAATGACTGCTTTTCCTATATAAAGTTTACAGTTCTCACACATTTTCCTAGTAGGAGGAATGAGTTTACACTGAGGTGCTTGTATACTCGAGTTCAGTCTCCAGTTCAGTGTCTGCTTTAAATAAAGGGTCTATGGTTTGTATTTCAGCTAACCCAGTTAAGAGTTTGGTATGTGGCATGCCTGTTTGGAACATGAAACTTCACAAAGTGTCAAATTTGTGAACTTGGCATTCTACTTCAGTTTTCTGAGTCACCTGAGACCATGTATGCCCAGTAGTGGGGCTAAAGCCTAGGGATAATTTTAGCCTGTAAAACTGTAGTTGTATGTTGTCAATTGCTAGCCACTTTTTTTTAGAGTGCAGTTGGTTATTGACATTGTCACACACAGGTTGCTATTGCTGGGGCCCCAGTCACTCTGTGGATCTTCTATGATACAGGATACACAGAACGTTATATGGGTCACCCTGACCAGAATGAACAGGGTTATTACTTGGGATCTGTGGCCATGCAAGCAGAAAAGTTCCCCTCTGAGTAAGTTCAAGCTTTCAAATTAAGGTTATAAATTTTAAATTGTATTTTTAGAACTTTACTAATAATGAAAACTTCAAATACTGAAAACTAGGAAAAATATTTTATAGAGTACCAAAAAGGCATGGCTGTTTCTCAAAGCCAAATTAAAGGCTAGTTCATATAGTGTATTTTAAGAGTATTTTTTAAGAAGTTATAGTTGAAGCAGTTGCTTGTGCTAAAAGAAATTAGGTGTCCACTTGTTTAAGTATGTCTACTTAAATGTATTTTACAAATACTTTTTCTAGAGACATACTATAATCATTGATATTTTCTAATATTTTAATAACAAACACATGATCTTTTTTTAACCTTTCATTTTGTGTGGCATCTGGTTAGTATATTACAATTTTAATACTGAAAATACTGAATCTTTATCTTAGCGATACAGTATAAAGAAGTTAATATTGTTATGTACGATTAGCTTAAATGAGTTAAGTGATTTCCTTTAATACTCTACTATTTTGCCTAAAGTTCTATTTTTATTTTCCCCAGACCAAATCGTTTACTACTCTTACATGGGTTCTTGGATGAGAATGTCCATTTTGCACACACCAGTATATTACTGAGTTTTTTAGTGCGGGCTGGAAAGCCATATGATTTACAGGTGAGTTCTGTTTTCTAATTAAATGTAGTGATTGGTTACTTTGAAATTTGGTAAAATATGGAGTAAGGCTGAATTTGAATTTTCAACAATTTTGTTAGTCTGATAAAAATTAACATTCTAAGGAAGTCAGGCTAAAAAGCCTGGCCTATCAGATTACATGACTTGTGTGGATGTCTGCTTTCAGTGTGTAAGCATGGAAATAGTGACAAGGAGTCCTTTTGCTGTCCTCCTTTGCTTTTCTTTTTTCCCTTTGATGCCTAAGGAAATGCTAGTGGATTTCATTGTGCGTTTTTAAGACCCAATTACATGTTCTTTTAATGTTTTCTTTTCTTTTACCTTGCCTTGGGAGTAGAAACCAGCAAGTAACTTTCCTCCATTGCTCCGTTACTCAAAAAAAGGTTTAAGAGAAACTATTCTTCCTTTCTCTTCCTTGAAAAGTATGAAAGACATTACCTTCCCCATTTCAGCTGACATTTCTGTCAAGTTAAACCATGATATATTTGTGTATAGTAGCAGTTTTCAAGCTTTTGGTCTCAGGGCCTCTTTACATAGCAAGCTTTATTTATAGCTACCAGTATTTCTCACTGGATGCAGTGGTTCACATCTGTCATCCCAGTTACTTGGGAGGCTAAAGCAGGAAGATCACAAATTCAAGCTCAGTCTGGGCTACATAGCCACTTCCAAACCAGCCTGGACTACAATAGTGAGACCTTGTCTCAAAATTTCTTTCCAGGGGCTGGCCAAGTGGCTAAAGTGGTAGAACGCCTGCCTAGCAAGCACAAGGCCCTGAGTTCAAACTCCAGTATCACCAAAAAAGAAGAATTCTTAGTATCTCCTTCTATATTCTGTCTGTTGTAGCATGCTGTTTTGAGTAAAGTATTTGAAGAAAAATTAAGCCTCATCCAGTACATAGCTAAGAAATGGGAGGATGTTTTAGCCTTTTTAGACAACTGTAGATTCTTCTTTGATACTACTCCAAAACTAGACATATGGTAACTTCTTAAAGCTTGGCTTTTGTGGAATCTGAAGCCACACCTATAAGTTTTTCATATTGTCCTGCAAAAATTGGATCTGTGTTCTGAGGTTTGAACTTACGGTCTTGCATTTGCTAGGCAAGCACTCTACTACTTGAGCCACTCCCCCACCCCTTTTTGCTTTAGTTATTTTTCAGATAGGGTCTCATGGTTTTTGCCGTCCTGGACTGTGATCCTTCCTAAATGCCTCTACCATAACTGGAATGGCAGGCATGCACCACCACACCCAGCTTTTTTGTTCAGATGGGGGTCTCACTGACTTTTTGTCCTGGGTGACCTTGAACCATGATCCTCCTGTATTCCACCTCCCAAGTAGCTGGAATTGCAGGCATGTACCACCATACCTAGCCATTCATCAAATGAATCTTTTACCCATGCATTTATAAGTCTTTCAAATGTTGACTCTTTTCATTATATAATATTTTTTAAGTCACGTGCTGTAATCGTCCACTGATCCCATAGGAAAGTAAGTACTGGGAAGCTCCTGAACTAAAAGCAGTACATGCAAGCTTTTCAAAAGTCAAATTTACATGCAAAAGCTCGAGTTGTGTCATTGGCAAACAAATACCACTTATGTGGTCTTTGAAGTGACCACCTCACTTCATTATATATCTAAGTCTGACTAATCATAGTTGTCAGTCATTCTTTGAAGAAAAAAAAGGGCATTCCGTAGGAAACAGCACGTCACCTTGCATCTTGGCTGCACACAACACTGTCCTTGAGACCCCCTGTAGCACAGGTTCTTCAGCACATTTCTCGTTTCATCACCACACAGTAGTAAAGACCACAGTTCTGATACTGCTGCTTATGTGACACTGGAATTTCCTTTGTCACTGCACTTGGGTGGGATGGCAGATACTCGGCATGTGGTATATTCAGTGCCATTGCCTTTCCCACAGTCAGGCTTCAGGAGCTTTTGCATTGTCAGTGCGGCACAGTGAGTACATGGATAGCGCAGGCTCATGCAAAATCTCAATGTTGTTTTGAAAGTAGTTTTGAGCTCACATATCCTTGGAAAGGGCTTCTGAGGACCCTCTGAAGGCTGCAGACCACACCTGGGCAATGAACCATTGGTCTATAGAAAAGCCTCTGTTAAGCCTAATGGGTAGCCATACGGGAATGATAAAAGGAGAGGGCCTTTAGATAGGATGTATTTAAGGTGGTGTCTCAGAGAGGCTGTGTTCCGTATTACCAGTCCTGTAAAGATCTCCAGGAGCTTTGACAGGAGCTGTGTTGTTAAAGCTCTCTTTCCTGTCTGTTTTGTTGTGAAGATCTATCCTCAGGAGAGGCACAGCATAAGAGTTCCCGAGTCTGGAGAGCACTATGAACTGCATCTTTTGCACTACCTTCAAGAAAACCTTGGATCACGTATTGCTGCTCTGAAAGTGATATAGTTTTGACCCCTGTAAAACTCTGGTGTACACTGACTGCTTACCCAAATGAGGAGGTTTATCGATAGAGAACATGGAGTTGATCATCTCATTTTGGTACCTGTCATATAACATCTACTTCTGAAAGAAATTTGGTACCGTGTAGGCATCTACAGCTTGTCTAATCCCTTAACCATATGCACACAAACCCGAGTGACACATATGTCTAAGGGATACAGCAACACCATGAGAATTACGGGAAGAAATAAGACCTATTCATACTACCCTTTTCAATTGTCATTATGAAACCTCATGGACTTAATTAGTGGATTTTTACAGTATACTTCAGAGCTTGTTAAAATGTATTAGTCATTGGTTTCTTCAATTCCAAAATCTCTAACTAGTTACAAATTTGATAGCAGTTAAATGTAATTGAATAGCTTATGCTTCATTGCTTGGGGTATATCTAGCATGTTATGAACTAATCACTATTAAACCTGTGACTTAACCAGTCATTAATGATTTTTCAAGGATAACTTAGTGGCCTCCTAAAGATACTTATTTTGGCTCTGATCAGTTTTTAGCCAACTTAAACTTATCTAGTACAAATAACTCTCCTTTTTCTTTGATGACATGACAGAGTGGTTTTTCTTTTTACATAAAAGTAAGTAACTGTATACATAGCATGGATTTAATTATAAGTCTTATGATGTTGATAATTACAGGCAGAAAATTTTAATGAAATGATTAAAGAGCTTAAATATTTGCAGGCAGTTTTTCCCCTTTTAGGAACAGGGAAAAGTACACACTCACTTATATTCAGGAAATTCATTGATACCAGTCTTTTTAAAATGTTCCAGAGTTTGGGGAGGTAGAAGGGAATTGAAGTAGGGTGGGGGGTGACCAAGGTGTGGGAAAGACAAGGAGAGGAGGTTGCAAGGGTCTGTTTAAGGATCAAGCAGAACTAGTGTAGCAGAAATGCTCATAAAAAAATTGGGGAAGTGAAATTCAAACTACTAGAATATTAGTTAAGGAAAACAATTAAGAAATCACTCTCTTGCTGACACAGCTATAGACTGTTATTCAGAGGAGGAAAAGTTCCTTAGAGTTACTTTTATAATTCCAGTTTTTTGGGTTTTTTTCCTCCTTATTTTAAACACCTTACAAATTTAAACTTTAATCCTCTTAAATTATTTGAACATACTTTAGATATATTAGCTTAAATTAAAAAGGTTTCTAGATAACTCTCTACCATAAATGAATCCCTGGCAGGCTCTTTTTCATTGTTTAAAGCCTATGAACAGTTTTGTTGAATGGTTGTGACATTTTAGTGGTTTAGCCTTTGTGCTTGACCATGAAGGGAGCAGATGGGCTTTCAGGTACTGATTGAGGTCTTCCCTTGTGGGGTCTTTGAGTTCTAGGTGGGTCTCATCAGAGCCAGTGGCAGGAGGCATCTGTGGGTCTGACTCTTTTTATCACAAGCTTTAGTGTTTAGAAAGTAGTTACCAGTAATTTTAAATCACACTCCAAGAAAACTTGCTCTATTTCTTTCTTGCCACTACAGACAGAGTAGACTTCTTCCAGAGAGAGCACAGTCTACATTAGTGAGGGTGGTGACTGTGTGACCGAGGTGGACTTCATTGAAGGCCAGGTGGGTGGTGTAGGAGGCCCAGAAATGGCAGGGTGACCTGGTTGATCTGTCCTTGGGAAGGAAGGGACTGGGTTTTGCTCTTGTATATTTATGCTGTATAATAGGTTCCACACTTTTCCTTATTGTCTGTATATGTATTGATTTTCATGTTTATGGTATTTTCTCATGCCAAGATTTGTTTATATTTTTTCAAAGTTAAATTAAATTGATCTGGGTTACTTTTCTTCCCCAAAAAAGTATTTTCCCACATGACTTAAGTACATGAATGACTGTTGAAGGTGGTATTTTTGGACTAATTTAGCCTCCAAGGACCTATACTTATATGCAAAGTAGAAATGGTATAACGTAGCTTTTAGACAGCTACTCATTTGAAACCTCTTACCTGTCAAGGTTGTTTCTTAATAAGGCATCTCTGATTTTACTAAACAAACCTTAGAACACCTCATGTACTCTTACATTAACAGGTGCTTTCCTTTTGCACCTTGCCTTCTCTTCTATCATAAGGAATGCTTTTATAACTCCCACTTAAATTCCATTCTGCTTCTCTAGGGGGAAAAATACCTGACTGAATTTGCTTGCAGAACAATGGCTGAACTGAATTCACTTTTTATAACCAATATGAAAAACATCATAGTCAATTGAAGCAGTCAGTAGAAATCACACTAAAACTGTACCCTGACTATGGGTAGCAATGTAAAAGGCAGGAGTACATAAAAGTAGCAATGGTTGGGTGAGAGCCAAAAAGCACTGCATTACACATCAAACTGAGTTTTTATAGGCTTGATAAATGAGTACACTTGAACAGTGGTCAACAGATACAGTTACTTGAGCTTTGTGTAGCAGCAAAACTCAAAATCTAAGATTCATCTAGGATGCTTACTAGAAGAACTACAATCTTGAACCTTACTCTTACAAATTTGAATTCCATTGATTTGGATGGAGACCAGGAATGTGCATTTCTAACAAGCTTTCTAAAGTTTCTAAATAAGGTCTCCTGTGGATTAGAGTGAATGGAGTTGGAGTAAGAAAACAATAAGTGATTTTTACACTGGACTGATTCATAAGAACCCAAAACAATAATCAAGAAAGTTGCTCATCTGTGATAACTGTTGGCCCCTTCTCATTCTGAAGGCAGCAGGTGGCATTAACTTTGTGCCCCCTTTGGAGATTTATTTTGGAATGAAGGTTTTTCCCCCTTTGCCATTCCTGGTTCTTTTCCAAAGCCTCGCACAAAAAATGAAGTCACAGTGCATGTATTATCTTTTAAAACAATGCAATATAGATATGGATGCTTACTTTTTTACTTCTCATTTTCCTTACTGAAGGTGTATTCCGCCTTTCTATAACACTGCTCTCTCTTTAGGTGGAATGACTCCTAAAAGATCTTTCACTACTGCAGAATCACCAATTTTTAAACTGGAATAAATCTTTGATATAATCTAATTAGTCATTTGTTAGAGGAGGAACCTACATACTAGAGAGAGAAAGCAGTATATCCGTGACCACACCATCACCGTATTTAGTTGGTACTAGACTCCATCCAGATACGCTGCCTCATAGTAGTTAAATGATATATAGAAAAGGCAGATTTTTAAAGAAGTATTTATTAATATATTCCTATAAAACATTTTAAAGGTAACCACATAAAATGGTTAATTTTTCCATTCTAAAGTAAATGCTAAGCATGCTTATTAATGAAGCAGTACTTCTAACTAGTATATGACATTCTGAAGTTAATTAAGATCATTGCACTAAGCGTGTTTTCCTTAGTGTAGGGGAGAATGGGGAAATGGGGCATAGAGTAGAGTGCTTGCTTAAGCCCAGGAGTCCATCTAAAGTTATTCAATATAAGACAAGATGTGGCAATAGCAAAACCTTTCCCAGCAGATGTAAAGGAAGAAGGAAACTTCCCTGGCTCCCACCTTCCCAACCCCGCCCAACCTCACCTATCCACTTTCCAGCCCAAAATACAGAGATAAGTTAGTGCAGGGTGCTGAGTTCTAGGCAATTGTTTCAAAAGTCCCTTACAGAGACAGAAAAATTTGTTTGTGTGTTTGTTTTTAAGTAACCCAAATACAAATTTATGTTGTACTCAGCAAAATTGGCATCCAGGTCTTTAATTTTAGAGCATAAAGTGCCTGCTGTTTTAAGCATTGACTTGTATAAAATGAATTGCATGTCTCACTCCAGTAAGTTTATGGGTTTTCTCATTTTTAGCTACACGGCTTTTAATCATGTAATGTGAAATATTAGTTTTGTTGCATTTTATTACAGGTTCTTGGTTGCAATAAAGATGCTGCTGAAATTAATTGATTTAAATGTTCCTTTTTTTCCCCCTTACCAATTTTTACAAACTTTCTTTGATTAGTCACAACTGTGGAATGATTAACGCCCATGAGCAAGCTCACGTGCTTGCCATGGAGAAGGCAGTCTGCAAGGCTTCAGTATAAACCACATGCATCCGAGCTCAGAAGGTGTGTACCTGCACAGCAGCTCATACTGCCAGGGTAGATGGTGCTCAGGGCCAGGGCTTAGCAGATCCCCCTGAGCAGCTGGGGGTGGGTTCTTGGGAATGGCCCTTGGAGTTGATAGTGGCTTCTACATGCCCTGGAGGAAACTCTGAGGGGCTTTAGGTAATGCTTTTTCTAAGGTTGCTTTGAGAATTCTGACGTTTTGAAGCCGTATTGGAGAAAGGGTAAGGAGCAGATGTGTACCTCTAAAATAAGTAAATTTGGGTTTATCTGATGATCCTTCCAAAGCAGACATAATCTGAATTCTCTGAACCCTCTGCAGGTATATATCAAATATTGCATGAACAAGCATGTATTATTCTGGAGAGATCTTTGACTTTATCAGATTTTCAAAGGGTTAGTGATCCAACTGTGGCTGCATTAGGGTCTTAAGCATTTATTTTGTATATAAAAATTATAAGGAATAAAGGTGATCTTTAAATAAGATAATTTCATACTTTAGCATTTCCTAAACTTTTCACCATGTGACAGAAAAAATACATTTGTATGACACTCTAGAATAACTGAGGCACACTGGAATAACCTATTGAGGCTGCAGCCAGAAGTCCCTGGCCAGGCCCATCCCATCTATTTATGGCACTGTGGCTGAGACATTTTTATAGACTACCTTGCTGTCTTTAATTCAGCCTAGAGTTTTTGCTGATGAGAAATCAGCTTTCAGCCCAGCCATAAGCATGCTGTGGACTGTAATGGAGGTGCGAGCTTCCAGGGGCTGTGGGGCTCCAGTACTACACAGTCACATCAGAGCAAGTGTGGCCTTAAGCCTTTAGGCTTCCCTTTGGCCTAACCTCACCCTCTGAGTGGATATGGAGAGGCAGTTACTGATTCATCCCTTGTTGCTTTTAAGAGAAGCAGAATGAAAACAGCTGCAGTATGAAAATCTTATAGCAAAGGATAATTTTATTTGGGGTTTTATATGGTTTGAGGAATTACTAGAATGTGTTCACTAGTCTGCTGTCCACATATCTAGTGTCCTGGCCCTGCCATTCTGGAAGAAGTTGAGCTTCCATTGAAATGGATTAGAGATGTTTCATGCACTGAGATTATGGAGTTTGCTGTTTGCTCCTTTCTGAAA